GGTTTATTTACCGTAAATAAAGAGGTGTTTGATTGTGGGAATCACCACAAATTGATTCACTTCTCAGCGTCCATATGTCTATTTAAAATATTTACCGTTTTAAAGAATAATAGATGATATCTGAGCTTATATATAAAAGGGCAAATTATGGCACTCGAAAGCTATCGAAATTTCTATTTGAATCCATTTGAATTTCATTGAGATTACGATCGATATCAAATAAGACGATTTCTTAATTATCTTCCAGTTGATTTATTCTGGTCACCAAGCAGTAGTTCAGCCACATTTAATCTGATAGCGTCTTTCCAACCTTTAACTGTCCTGATTGAAACTCTTTCGGTTATCATCGCAAAAATATTTTTTAAATATTTTGCCGAATTCAACGAACATTGAATAAAATACAGAGCAATGAGCTAAGTCACGAAAGGTATTGATCTATTTTCTTCTTGATTTAATTCTCTCAAATATTTTTGGCCCAAGTGGAGGGGAAAAAATTAAAAGCTTTTCATTTTCACCATCAATTCTTAGAGACAATTATAAAATAAAAATCAATTCTTAGTTTACCTATATACGATCCAAAGAAAAAATGTGCAAAATTTTGTATATATAATTTTTTTACATAAATCTTATAAAATTCAAACTAAATAGCTAACGTCATTTTTTTAGCTACTTAACACTTTTTAAAATTAAGTTAAATTATAATCATACATACAAACATGTAATTTAGTTTTTTTAATACCATTAGACTCGTACGTCAGTGTCAAATAATGTATGTATGTATGTATGTATGTATGTATGTATGTATGTATGTATGTATGTATGTATGTATGTATGTATGTATGTATGTATGTATGTATGTATGTATGTATGTATGTATGTATGTATGTATGTATGTATGTATGTATGTATGTATGTATGTATGTATGTATGTATGTATGTATGTATGTATGTATGTATGTATGTATGTATGTATGTATGTATGTATGTATGTATGTATGTATGTATGTATGTATGTATGTATGTATGTATGTATGTATGTATGTATGTATGTATGTATGTATGTATGTATGTATGTATGTATGTATGTATGTATGTATGTATGTATGTATGTATGTAAACGTCAGCATTCTAGCAAATAAATATTTATACGTCTGTGGTCAACACTATTAACAGCCAGTGGCAAAGAATTACACATTAACATTACAAATGTCAACAAAATGTATCGAGGACAAGTAAATTTAAAAATGCAGACATAATACACTAATTACGCACATATTCCCCCTATGACGACCACTGATTTATACTTGAATAAATGCTCAGCAAAAACTTTTCAATAACTGCATTTTTTGTGCGTAAAATAAAATACCTTTTTAACTCCCTATTTGTAAGTACTTATTTAAACACTTATTTGTAAACGTGTATGGTAAGTGCATGCCTCCAATGTCATCATTGTGTTAATATAATACGGTAAAATGCTAATGAAATAAGCAGTGAAAAGTGTTAAGTAAGTTCAATAGATAAAAGCATAATTATTCACTCAATAAAGTACTCAGTGTATTATAGAAAAAAATTGATAAGTAAATCTGTACGTTTATTCTCGATTTTATTACACATAATTTGTAAGTATGTATGCATATATGTATGTACATATACATATGTACATAAGTATATGAGTGTTATTCGGTTAAGCCCTGTTTATTCTGGTCTGTTTACAAAACATTTTTTCCACATTAACCATGGTAACGACAATGATGACCCGGTAGTTGATGGAAATGACATTTTCACTAAGAATGGCGACAAAAGAACATACAAACACTCACATTCCCCCACATACTCAAATACAAACTTACGTGCATATGTATCGATTCGGTGCACAATGCAAAAAGTTGTAATTATGTGGTTGTAGTACCTGCCATTATGACCATTCATGGTTGATTGTTAATCGAGATTTGTCAATTATTGTTTTCTTTTTTTTTTTTAATTATGCACTTACTAAAGTCCTCTACAATGTATTACATAGAATGGTAGATGAAATATTTGGAATGGGGTCAATGTGTTACAGAGCGTAACTATTTATGCTTTGTGCTAAATCAATAATAAAATAAAAACTTCCATTAATGCTGTCAAAACTTCATTAAAACGCATTGAAATGAAAACTTCGTTAAAACATATTTAAATCGAAAGATCTTTTTGCGACCATCCATATTTTTCATAAGAACTGGGCCCAAATTACGGCATACGATATCGATCGAAATCTCAATACAATCTAAATGTAGATTTCGATCGATATCGTATGCCAGTAATTTGGGCCCTGTGTTTTTGACAGAAAAATTTAATACGGATTTAACTTGATTAAAACATATTTGAATCGAAATAGGAGCTTGTCTTGTGATTACCCTTAAAAACAATTCCATTTCGTTTATTTTAATGAGTGTGGTTGAATCGAAATATAGAATACATAAAATTTTGATCCTAATTGAAAAGCAGAAAAAACATTTGAATCGGAAAAATCAAAAGAAAACATGTTTTAGTTGAAACTCATAAATCTATATCTTTAAAATCGAAAACGATATTAACAATTAACAAGATAGTTTATGTATATAAAGATTTGTTTATTATTTTTTTTTAAATTGATCACAATATACGACAATTTGAATAATTTATAATTATGTGTTTAATAAATTGTTTTGTATATTATTTATATATTTATTTTGAGAGTTCATTGACTTAATTAATTTGTATGTTAATTTAGTTTTATTTATTTATAATTTAAAATTCATAATAATTGTAAAACATTTAAAGCCACAACAATATATAATTAATAATATGTAGTAATAATGTATTTTTTTTTATTTTTGTATAAATATTTTTAACAAATTTTAGCCTTTTTGATTGATTTATTTATGTAGAGATATTCGTATAATGTTACAATTTAATACAATAATGTTATTTGTTACATATTTTAATAATTAATCTATTAGCTTATTGTTTAATATAATGCTTAACGTAACCAATTTTTTTAAATAAAAACTAAAGAAAAATATTTGTTTCTTAAATAGCTAAACTTAATTGTAAATATATATAAAAAAACAATAAAAATATAAAGTGTCTTTTGTTTTAGATGATAAAAAGACTAATAACAACCAGTTCTTCAAAGGACAAAACAAAAATAAACCCAAATATTTTGTGCAAAAAGCTCTCATATTTAAAAGGATTTCACACAAATTTTTCGGCTAGTATTTTTCTTACGACATGAAGAAACTGGCAGTAAACATAAATTGGACAAAAAATAATAATTGTAAATGCAAATGTTTTAAAAATGAAAAATAATAACAGTTTAGAAATTTTGAATTAAAGTATTACAAACATAGAGATAAAGCTTTCAACTGATATGTTGGTTTTAATTATTATTTTTTTTAATTTTCCCATTAAATAAACTAAAAATATATTTATTTGTTGTATGTATGGTGGTTGTTTTATCAAATCGAATTTACAAAAATGTTAGCAACAAATGAGTTCGTATTAATTGTGTTTCGTTTAATTATTTAGCAATGGCTCCTGATCACTGGCATATTCATCATTATTTACACCATCACCTGCATTCATCAATCTAGCCGCAGCACTAGAGATAACACACAAATAATAATAAGTATAAATAAAAATATTGAAAGTTTTTTTCTACAAATAATTTAATATTGAATCTGATATGTATTAAGAAGGTGGACAATGAAAAGGCTGTCTGAGATTTGTTTTTCTCTTATTTGTATTCGACAATAAGAGATGACAGAGCGATATAGATTTATTTTTGATAAAGACTTTTGAGAAATAAATTGGTACTATTTGATTACAATCCAGACTTGGTATCAGCGGATTATACTGCATTAAAAGTAATAATTTTTTAAATACCAGTAGATCTCACGCTGAATCGGAGACGAATGAGATTTTTTTAAATAATTTTAAATTTAAAATGTAATCAAAAAGCTGAGATATACAGATGAACATCTAAACTACAATTTTAATTAACTTTCAAAGCAAACTTATCCAGCAAAAGTTTGAACATGAAATTTTCTCCGAAAAAATACAAAATGAAATTTTAAAGAAACAGCCTTCGAAAATATGTTTGATGATAATATATGTATGATATTAATAATGTTTGTTAATTGTTAATATAAGTTGATTAAATGTGTATTAAGTTATAAATATTAGTAGGATAGATTTTTGAAAAATTGATTTGGATAAAAAACATTTAGAACAATGAAAATTAGTTTAATTTTATAGATAAACATTAATATGAGTAGGAATGGGAGTGTAAGAGAAATTTATAAGCCAATTATCATAAAACAAAGTAGTACAAGATTATGGGAATTTATCAATAGCTATGTTTTTGCTTTGTTTTTAATATTAAAATTCTACATACATTGCATTATTGTATTCGGTACGTTGAGCTGGTGTCAGATTTAAATTTCCTCCAGTTTTGCGATCATACACATATATTACACAAGTGGATATCAAGGCAACTGTAAGGGATAAAAGAAAAACATTTTAATAAATCGTTGTTAATATATTTTTAACAATACCCACTTGTTAACCAGCCTAAGAAGAATAATTCCACATAGGTATGATCACCATTACTATTATCAACAATCATGCCAGCCAAAATTGTAATGACTGCTAAACCAAGATTCTGCACAGATTGACAGCTGCATTTATCAAAAAATATATATTTTATAATAATACCATTTTCATTTGCAATTTGCGAAAAGAATATACTTACAATCCATAAGCAGTGCCCAATTGATATTCAGGGAATAATTAATGCCACCAAAGGCCAAAGACTAGCCGCCAACATAGAGTAGGATAGACCCATTAAAACCATACCAACATAGGGATTCAACATGGTAAAAGCTAATAAAGTATGAGCTCCTATGGTCGACAAAGTGGCAGCACAAATCCATGAAACATTACGACCTGTCTTATCGATAATGAAACCAAACAGAGGAGAAGCTACTGCAGAAATAAGATAAACAATGGAGTTAACATTGTTGGCTTCATCAGGCGTTAAATGGAATTTGTCCATGAAGAAAGATCTTTAAAAGAAAATTATATTAAATAACTATAAACAACAAATATACATATAATTGGGGAAACACTTACTTGCCCAAAGCAATAAAGGGGAATATGGCCACATAATAAGCCACACAAATAATGGACACCATCCAAAAAGTAACTTTGAATGTAGTTATATCACTTAGTTTGGCAATTTCACCTGAAGGATTGTTATTACGCTGTAAAATACGTTCAGCTCTTTTATCCATCCAGCCTTAAAAATCAACAAAATAAAAGTATTTTAAAATTATTAAAAATAATACCACTTTTTCTTTTACTTACCCAGTATAAGAGCACATATTAATGACATGACACAGGTGCCAGCTGCCAGCAGCAATACCACACCTAGAGCCCTATGATCGGGATAATATTTCGTAACATAATTATAAATGGGTTGCATTACCCAAAAATTAACTGTACTGCCAAAACGTGCCACCGACAATTGCAAACCAAACACCATATTCAATTCTTTACCCTTAAACCATAAAACGGCATAGTTATTCTGAGCCACAGCCAATGATTCGGCACCAATACCGAATATAAAACGACCGACAATCATTATCCAGAAAGTGCCCAATATACCACCTGAGGCGAAAAGCAATTGACCAATCAACAGTATAAATAAGTAGATAATGGTGCCCAGACGTATGCCAAAAACACGATCAATTAGAAAACCACCCACAAAACATAGAACAACATTGGGCCAGGAATAAATTGAATATATAAGAGTAAATTCAGTGGTTGTGATGTTTAAATCCTTTTTGAAGACTTCTTGTAAGGCGCCGGGATTATCATAACAAAAGTAGGAACCTAAACGAGGAGGCATAGAAAGATATTATCAATGAATATTTAAATTTCAAGTGTAGCAGAGGAAATTAAAATGTTGGTAAAAACCAAGAAAACTGAATTTGAAAATTAGCAAACAATTGCAGATGATTTATGGAATTTAATCATCTTAAAAAATAAATAAATAAATAACGAAATTTTTAAATTTATTTTTCAGCTAATTCAACAAGCTTTTAAGGTATAACACAGTTGTTTTTAAAATAAAAAATTGTGTTCAGTATTGTGTTCAATAATTTTTAGTACACTTTCATCATTTTACAAAAATAGCAATTTAAAATATTTATTTTGTTTAAATTTATATATATTATTCACGTTGAAGGGTATAAACTACTTATTAATAATAATCAAGTTATTTGAAAATATGGTTTTGTCTTTGTTTTATTTATATTTTAAAAAATCTATAGTTTTCTAGTATCAATGTAGAAAATACACCCTTTTGTTTTAATATGAAAATTGAAAATTTTGTCCAGTTTTTTCATTCTAAGCTATGACTCAAACTTTCTTAGAATTTAGAACTCTCAAAAATCTTTGAGACATTATCACTACAAAACAAAATTAAAAACTTTGTACCCATAAAATTTATGCATCATGTTAATCACAATTCATTTAACACAATAAATTTTTCCACATATGTATGATAAGGATTGACATATTTAAATTAATTCGCACGCCCTATACATGTATTTGTGTGATCCTACAAGACCACAATAAGACAATAAATATTATTTACGATCGAAAAAGAAGTGAAATTATATGCTTAATTTAAAAACCAATTAAACAAATTGAAAGTAAGAAAATTCTTATCATTTGTATAAAAACAACACAAGCTATAAAAAAGAATATTTTTTTCTACTTACCAAAACCCAAAAGACACATGAAAATCAAAGCCAGAAAACGATGAAATCCGCTAGGAGGGATTACAGCATGCCGAAGCACCGCATCCGGTAGGTTGGGGATCCAATTCATTATCGGGTGGTCCACGCCGAATAGATGCAGGTTGATGTTCATTTTCGACTATAGGTAAATTATCGTCGCTCATATTGTGCTAGTCTGATGAAAAATTAAGCGCAAGTTTCAGATGAGAATGAGAGCAGGAGCTACTTTATTCGTTGATATTTCGATTGTAACTGTTTTCAAAATGTGTTGACTTCTGTTATGGTGTTATCAGTCAAGCAGCAGTTATTATGGCCTGTTTATATTCAATATATTATTTTTCTTTGTTTGTGTATTGAAAAATGACTGATTTGAAACAAATATAAGCGGGTAAATTGTAACTTAAACTTTAACAATGATTTGAGGGCGTTCTGAGCTGAACTATGTTGTACTGAGTCAAAACAAAAACAATATTTATCACAATGTGTGTATAAATAAAAACAAAAATATGTACAAATGAAACAGGCAGACAGTTTTATAGTTAAGACAGACAGACAGTTTATTATTGATTCGCTGAATGTGATTGTTGTTTGAGTATTTTCTCTAACTTCCTTCTTTTAAATTTTCTAATCAGGACTCTAAATATTGTATTTACTGACTGGCTGGCTATGCTGTCTTATCGTTCTTATTATCATTCGTTTATAATGTTTACTTCTTTCGTTACAATTGCTTATCGATGTTTAAAATAGACGACCCATAGCATTTTTATTTTTTATAATTATTTAATAACAATGAAAATTATTGCTTTGATTTTATTTTATTTCGCTTTGCTTCATGTAATTACTCTAAAGACGAAGATGATCTAGTTGAGCTTCATGCACTAAAGATGAATAGTAATCGTCGCAAAATCAATTAATTGTTTTTTATTATACTAATACACAATAAGCCTTGATTAGAGCTGTAATGAAATGAAAACAATGGAAAATTAATTTTTAAAAATATTCAAGTAAATAGTTTTTTGTATTTTCAGAGTTTTTAATTAAATTGCCTTACAACTTTGCATTACTAAGCCATTGACCTAATTATGTTTTTGTATATTTTTTATTAATTTTTACTTAGCTTTTAGTTTTCTTTTAACATTGGACATGTGATATTTAAATGTTGTATTTATTATTCACCAATATTTTGGGTTCATAAATCAGTTTAAAATTACAAAAAGTTTTGTTACAATTAGTTACAAAAAAACTTAACTTGAATTGAGAATTTCCCATGAAACGAAGCTAAATTACAGAATTTATATATGCAATTTTTGTTTCAAATATAGTAGATATTCCATAGAAATTTATACATTTTTAACCAATACTATAACTAGTAACTGCACGGGTAACCTAATTAAAATAAATAAAATTTGCTCAATTAATAACCGGTTATTATTAAATAATATTTTATTTGTTTTACTCTTCGTTTTAGGATCTCACTAGTACATAAAATTTGTAAAAGTGTATACGAATTGTAAACTCTGTACAAGATATTGATATACATACCTAAATGTAACAGAAGGTATAAAAAGTCAGTAATCAGTATACCTACTAAAAAAATCTTTTGAAATTTAGTACTAGTTCTTTTCATAATACATATAGGTATGTAGTTTAAACTGAATGAAGAAAATATCAATTTAACTGTCAATATGCTGGACAAAATGAGCCGCCGTGGCCAACCATATGATGCCCTACACCAGTTATTGTAGCTTGCCTCCGATATATTTAAGCAATTGATTAATGAAAAAGTAATTTCCTGAAAGATGCTTAATATTGGAGTTGGGGGAAAATATTGACCGATCCTCATAAAATTTGGTGATCGATTTACTTAAAATGTTTAAATGCTGCATTTCATCGCAAATTGTTTATATTTAAATAATTTTCTGAATGGGGCTTTGTTTGTATGAGGCTGCTTGTGTTCTGCTTTTTATCGAGATACGAGTATATTAATCATAATTATGAACTCAAAACACCAAAGACAGCTGTATGAGGACTAAGTGGAATAATGGTCTATTTTTACTATTTCTATTTCATTGAATTATCTTCAAAATTGTGCCCTGCAGTTTAATTACAAGGTTTACATGGACGGACGGTTAGACGGATAAACGGACATAGCTAAATCGATTTAGAAAATTATTTTAAGCTCCACTAAAGTGGTGTTGGGTATAAATAGTCAAATGCAATAGGTACCGAGAAAATCTGTTTCTATTCAAACTTTCAGAGATAGTACATCTTCACTAATACCTACTAATTTTAATTTATTTTAGCTTTTAGCTGGAATAGATTTTAACAAAACAAATTATTTAAAAACACTTTAATAAAATGTTTTTACAAAAATAAAAATATACATGGGTATGTACAGTTGTAGATATTTTTTTATTTTTTTTTACCAAATACCTACCTACCTACATACATAATATAGAGATATGAATGATGACGATACAAATTCGAAAGTATTGTTTGTTTGCACAAAACAAAAAACAGAAGCAATTAACATTTTGCAAAAATATAACAAATAATAAACGACAACTTATGAAAATTGAAATAAACAAAATAAATTAAAAGAAATTGAGAACCGTACAACAGCGCAAAGGTAAATATGAAGATGTATTGGAAAAAGTGTAGTGACCCAGCAAATAAAAATACATAATCATAATAGCTTTTGTGAAATACTACAATGAAATAAAATTAAACAATAACAGAATAATACACAAGAAATAAAATAAATTAATTGAAATATAGAATTTCTGTCAATATGAATATATTTTTATCTTATTTCTATTGTTTATATAAAACTGCCGACCAGCTACCACTACTAAATGCAACAAGTTTTCTCCTCCCCCTGTCTTTCTTAAAATTATCTTTTATAACAATGTTATTTACATATCAAGATAATGTAAAGTATATAAGCAAACATAAATAATAACTAAATATATACATATATGCAAACATATGTATGTACATAAATGTAAATGTATTATACTAAGGAAAAATTCCAAACATATTTTAGTAAATAATTTAATAATCTGCCATCAATTTGTTCACAATTTATTAACAATAAAAAACACTTTGTATAAACTACATTTCTTTGTTATATACTCTTAAATAAATACAAAACAAAGAATATGTTATAATTAAAATCGAACGATTAGTTTAAATTATGCAGGCAAAATACAAAACACTACAGCTTACCCCTGATATTTTTTTTAATTTTTTCTTAAATAATACAGTTTTGTTGCTCAAAAGCAACAATGAAAATCCGCTAATTTTTTACAATCTAAATAAAATCTGTAATTTTCACTGTAAACTTTTTTATTCCGTCTTTGTATTTCGTGTGTGTTGTTGTTTTTAATTATTTTTTTTTCGTACGTCCATAAACACAGTGTTGCTTTAACAGTTAGCAAAAATCAATTTCTGTTGTCAGTTTTACTACTGTTATTATACAACTCTGCTCTGTTATCAAACACAACAACAACATTGTTATTAAACGTCATTCTTTTTTTTAACATCAGGAGCCAACCAGATGCATTTTTGGTATTTTTATTGAATTAAGACGCATATTTGAAAGTTTAAGGAATATTAAATGAATATTTATTAAATTTAGTAAAGAAAACCAAACTCGTCTATATGTAAATATTAACAAATTAAAGGAAATTTCAAAATGGACTCGATAAAGGTAGGCATTTGGCAGATACAGAACGAATTGTAATTATGCCTCCAGTTAGACCTTTGTTCACAATATTCATGTGTTTATGAGTGGGGGGCTGATTGCTGTTATTTTTTGGTATTTGATAATAGTCTGAATATTGCATGTTTATTTTTTTCTAGACAGTTTCTTTGGCATTCTTTTATGGCTTGTGTGATAGTATCAAAGGTATGACATTAGTTTTTTATATTGATGCCGAAATCCATAGACAGAAGGCTGAAGAAGAGGCTCAACGTCAATTAGCCAGAGCAGATGCTCAACTACTTGAAAGTCGGCATGGCACTGCAAGACGAAGCCCATCGCCAGTACCATCCTCAGCATCGGCTATGTTCGAAGAAGAATTACAACGTGAGAGGTCAGCTATTAATAAGGAAAATCCAGATGAACGCCGTTTGGATAGTTTAAGAAAGAAACAAAAGCCTGCAGAACCGTCTATACCTTTCAAGTAAGTTTAATAATTCAACATGTGTACATACATTACATTACAATTTTATAGGTACATACATATGTACAATGTAAATATGTATGTCTTGCTTTAAGTATAAACACATACAAATCTTAAAAATCGTATTTTGCTTTTTTAGAGAAAAGAAAATTGCGAAACAGGTTCTCAAATGCTGTGCCCTTAATGGTGGTTTTACTTGGATGAGTATAATATTATTTGAGCAGATTCTTTTACCAACACTTAAATTTATCTTGACTCTGTGCTATGGTGATAAATCTCAAGACTTACATATGATATGGGGTTGGTTACAATCCATACTTTCCATAATATTTGGTATGATGTGGGTTTTGCCAATTTTTCTATTGAGCAAGATTGTCAGTTCCTTGTGGTTTGCTGACATCGCCAACGAAGCATATAAAGTACGCAAAGGCCCGCCAAGTTTAATACCGAATATTAGTAAATTGGTGGCAGATTTCCTCTTTAGTTTGGTAGTCCAAGCCATCTTTCTGGTACAAAGTATGCTAGTAAATTTGCTACCATTTCCATATGTGGGTGAAGTCTTGTGTTTTGTACATCTATGTTTGCTATATTCCCTGTATTCTTTCGAATATAAATGGTTTAATATGGGCTGGGAGTTGCATAGACGTCTGAGCTATATAGAGATTAATTGGCCATACTTTATGGGTTTTGGGGTACCGTTGACGGTGCTGACAAACATGTCCAGTTCAGTAATTGTAAGCAGCTGTATATTTTCGATATTTTTTCCACTCTTTATATTGAGTGGTAATGAGGCAAAACCAGTTATTGGAACGACGTAAGTTTATTTTGAACACTTTTTATTTTTATCGTTTAATTAATATTTTGTATATACATTTACAGAGATACTCCATTACGTCTATTCTCGCCTACTATATTTGTATCAAATCTTATGTTTGGTGGACGTAAAGCTAATATAACTGCCAGTAAACTCGCACAACATAAAAAACACAATCAACAGCAACAGCAACTACTTCAAAAACAAAGAAATCAACTACATCGACGTAGTTCTGCTAAGGACAATTCTCCCTCACCATCACCATCATTGCAAATACCAACACCACAATTTCGTTATCCTCAGCCACCACAGAGGATAAGTCCAGCACGATTAACACCAGAACGACAATTTCGTTCCGACTTTAGTCGTACACAAATACGTTACAATGAAGGTACTCGAACATTAATACCTACACCAGTTCCGGGAGCACCGGTTGCGCCGACAACTACTCAAGCAAAGTCTACAAATCAACGAAGATAGTTATTTTGTTAATGGCCGCGACGTGATGGTGGTATTAGCTTTTTGGTAATAAATGTATAAAATCTGCTGAGAGAGAAATTCAAAAAGATACTGATTTATACAGACTTACAGATAAAAGAAATTAATTGTTTCAAAAATATTTCTTTGTGTGTAATATTTAAGTATGTAATGTTTTTTATGATTTTTTAGCTTTATTATATATTTTTTTATTTGCATAAAAGAAACGGCGTTTTATTTAAACACTAACCAATAACAAATATTTTTAAAAACCTATCTAATGTGTTTAAGAAAAATATCGTTTTATAAAAGAGGGAATTAGAAACAAAGGTAGTCATCTCCACTTTTATATATATTTTTTAAATAAATAAGACATATTTCTTATTAAATGTTTTACTTATTATTCTATACTGGTACAAGAACCAAATTTGTTTGTGAGCAAATTCATTTTAACCGAATTCAAACTTTAATTTAAAATAAAGTATCTCGAAGATGAACAAAATTTGAACAAATGAATTGTAATCATTTGTACAAAAATTTTAAAAATATACACATTTAAAAAAAATCATTGGGTTAGTTATAAAAAATGGAGGTTGCTATCCTCATTTCTACACGATTCAAATTTGCGTTTTATTGTAAATGCAAAATTTACTTAGCTTGCTTATACTTTATTTTCTTTTTATATTATAAACCCTTCTTAAGCATTTACAAATACTTAGGGCGGGTTTCTTACTACTCAGTTAAACTAGGCTTAACTTGCTGTTAGATTAAACTCGGAACAAATTTAGACGGACTTTAACCGATGATTGTGTTTTTCAGTTATGGATGTAAGTTTAGTTAACTTTGTTAGTATTGCCAACTTTTCACTCAAAAACATAAACAATGAACAGCTGTTTTTTGCAAATAATACTTTTGTAAAATGAAAAATTTTGGAAAAATGTTAAATAAACATTTAAAACAATAATAAATAAAACAAAACAAATTGGAAAATTGCAATTTACTTAAAATATTAAGTTTTTGTTCTTCCGAAATCATTGTTTTATTGTTTTTATTAATTGTGTCTTCTCACTTATAACTTAAGTTTAATTGGCCAATAACACTCAGTTAAACTAAGATAATAAGTAACGTTACTGTTTACTGAAAAACACAAAACATATATTAAACTAGGTTTAAACAAAGAATGTAGATTATCTTTATCTGAAAAATCCGCCCTTAATAATAAAAGAGATATTAAACCTCGCTTAATTCAATTCAAAGAGCTCATCCGGTGGTTCATCTTTTATTTCCGGCATAGTGTGATACGCTGTCATCGTTATCAAAGACTGCAAAGCTTCATACGACATAGTAGGGTCCTTCTCTTCAGGAATATTATAATCGTTACTATCGCTTTTGCTAGGGAAACCTCTAAAATTTGCACATTGCTTAAAGGTACCGTCCAATTTGATTAGAGATTGCACGGTATTATTAGCTAAACCGAAGAATTTTTCACCTTGGACATGTAAAGGCAACTTGGTGCCATCAGACAAAGATCTTTTAAGAGTTTCCAATAACGTTTGATGGCAGATATTTGCCGTTTCACCAAAGAAAACACTGTCAAGGTCATTGTCCGGTATTATTTGAAATTGTGGCATGCCCGTATTATTTAAAATTTTACAGGTATAAACACATTTACGTTGTGGATCCTTGGGATGGGCATAAATACGTGTGGCTACATAGCCCACCGGATAGATCCAGTGCGCGTTATGGAAATTTGGATTTGCTGGCAATATTTCACCCATAGAGTGAACCAATATATTATAAAGATTTATGGGTAGTTTGGGTTTACCTTGAGTGTCCACATCAAATTTATCCTCACAAATGAGTCTTAACTTTTCCACATCCTCAATATTGGAATTGACTTGTAGCACTCGTTTTTTGGGGCCACGCTTTTTTGGCATATTATTTGAAGGCTTTTGGGTAGTCCCTGCTTGTGGTGTTGCACCATCCACCGGAGTTTTTTCTGTACTTTCATAACCTTCATGGCGCATAAGGCGTTTGATTAAATATTTCCTTTCGTCACGTGCTGTCGACAAGTCTGATTGTATTTGGGCAACTTCATCGCATAAAGCAGCATTTTCCTTTGATTTGAAAAAAATATGCATATACATTTATCACAACTTTGTAAAAAATATGTGATAATTTACACTTACAAAAACCAATTGTTTAATTTGTCTTTTTAATTTCTTGTATTTTGATTTATATTTTAAATTCATTACACGTGAATGTTGACTGTTTTGATATTGATAGTGCAAAGAAGACATTTTTATTGATTCGATATTGATTTTACTACAAAATATTTACATATTTTCTCACAAAACAATACAAATAAAATATTCCTCCAAAAAACATTTACGAAAAAGGTAAACAATTGTTTATTTTTGAAATCAGTGTTGCCAAATTCTTGGCATTTGGTGCTGATAACAGAGGGATGAATCATGGCCTTATAGGGTAACAAACAATTAACCTTTTGAGATCCCGAATGAAAGATTTGTAAAATCTTTTAAATAAGAATTCTTTGAATAAACAAGCCATGAAATGAATTTGTCATTTGACTATGTATTTGTCTTTTGCTTAATGTTAAGATAAATGTATAGGGGAAAAGACATGATGTTCATATTGTTATCTATATTTTATTAAGTTAAATATATTTTTATTTTAATCATATACATATTTTTAAATCAAAATGATTTAACAACATTCCTATTATTAACATTAATGACAAACATGTGTTAACTTTTTCCAGAGTTAACATGTCTACAAAAATGTATTATGACTCTTCAATGTACCTTTTTGAAAACAACTGTGCAAGAGAAAATCAAGTGAAAAATAAAGAAGAAAACAATAATAAAAGTGGCAAAGAAGAAAAAAGTAGAGGGCAGAAAAATAACATTATCAGTTTCATAATTAATGTATTATTGTTCAAAAATAAAATTTAAATGTATTCGCAAAAGTGAAAACTAATTAAACAAACTCAAATAATTATAATTAAAAACACTTGTTTAAATAAAAGAAAACACACGCACTGGAATACAAAAATAATAGAGGAGGAAATAACACGAAAAATATTTGCCAATTGGTGTATTAGCACAGGTGTGCCTGACTATTCGCTTCATTTTGTGTTTCGATTGTAGTCAATTTTGGTTTCGCTGAAGAGAAAGGTGGAGTTGTTTTTAGGAAAATTACTCCAAACAGCGATCATCCTTAAAACATAAGACTGACTGGAGTTTGGTTGGTGGTGTAGGGAGAAAGATTTTCCAAATAAATCGGAAATTAACGACTTCAATAGCAGCAGGCAGGTATGAAAATAAAAATACATAAAAGAATAGCATAAAAACTACATAAATATACAAAAAGATTTGTTTGTTTGTATTGTTTTTTGTTGGCAAATTGACCTTCACCCCGTTTTCGATTTCGTTTCGATATTTTTATTTATTATTTTTTGTATTTTTCTATCCCTTGTATGTTTATTTTTAGGAATACAATATTGTTTACATATTTTTTAGCGCAGACGATTAGTTATTGTCAGTTGTAACCGAGGAAGATGCGTTGGACAGTACACTTAGATGGAGGACCACGTAGAGTAAATCATGCGGCTGTATGTGTCGGTGATTTCATATATTCCTTTGGTGGCTACTGCACAGGCGATGATTATCGCTTCAATGAGTCAATAGATGTACATGTATTGAATACACAAACACTGCGTTGGGCTCTGCTGCCACAAAGACGCTGTGAAAATGGAACTATATTAAAATATCCCGAAGTACCATTCCAAAGGTAAGTAGATTTTTTATTTAATAAAATAATATGTGAACCTAGAGTAATCTTTTGAACTAATTCAGTAGCCTGAAGTCTACTGAATTAGTTCAAAAGTTCAGTTCAGATTTTAGGATAATATCGACTCTAAAGTTAAAGAGAAAAATGTTTAGTTTATTATTGGTGATATAATTTACTATTAAAAGAATCTCGCAAAATATTTTTTGTAAAATAAGAAGTTTCTCTAATTTATTATTGTGGTACAAAAGTCCTTCTAGAAATAGAATATTTAGTTTTGTTTTGGAAATTTAATTTTAAGTTGTAAATACTATTTTAAAGTCCTAAATTTATTTTACTTTTGCACATAACTCAAAACTTAAGTCCATCCATTATATTCATATATTCATATCTTCATGGAATCATTTTCAATACAAAAAAATAACATAAATTGCAAAAATTGCATTTATGTATAAATGTATGTGCGCTTTTATATTAAAATTGAGATAATTTTAAATAAATATGTATGTATGTCTGTATGCACTTGAACAACTTTATTATAGATTGTTAATAAAAATAAAATTAAGAATTTCTTTAAAAAATCTACAATGATAAGAACTGACATATTAAATGTCTTTTCGTGTCTATAAATAAAAATGATTGTCTTTTCCAGATATGGCCACACTGCTGTTACTTACAATGATAAAATCTACATGTGGGGAGGACGAAATGATGAAACCCTTTGTAATGTCTTGTATTGTTTTGATCCGAAAACACTTAGCTGGTCACGACCACAAGTAACAGGTGCCATACCGGGTTCAAGAGATGGCCACTCAGCCTGTGTCATCGATAATTGTATGTATATATTTGGCGGTTTTGTCGAAGAAATACACGAGTTTTCGTGTGATGTCCATGCCTTAAATTTCGACACAATGGAATGGCGCTACATACAAACATTTGGTGTGCCACCATCATTTCGGGACTTTCATACCGCTGAGCACATACACGGTAGAATGTATATATTTGGCGGTCGTGGTGATAAACACAGTCCGTATCACAGTCAAGAGGAGATGTATTGTCCGGAAATAGTGTATTTAGATTTAAAGACTAAAGTGTGGCATCGACCGTCGACAACGGGAAAAGTACCGGTTGGTCGGAGAAGCCATTCGATGTGTAAGTTTTGATTTATGGGGTAATTTTCTTTTCTTTATTGAACTCGTATTTTCTAATTTACAGTTATTTATAATAATTTAATTTATGTATTTGGCGGCTATAATGGCTTATTGGATCAACATTTTAACGATTTGTATACGTTTGATCCGAAAGCCAACTGCTGGAATCTTGTTAAGCCTCATGGCAAACCACCTACACCACGACGACGACAAGTAGGAATTGTCAAAGGCTCACGATTATTTTATTTGGTGGTACTAGGTGAGTAATTTATTTTTGTTATTGATTAGTTTTTAACATTTATAAAATATAAACTCTTTGATATCGTGCACTGACTTTTAATAACATCTATTATTATTTACTATTACCGTTAGTTATCTTTGAAATTTAATTTTTTCAAACAATGTTATATATAATGCACTTAAAAGCTAATGAATTTCAAAACTGATAACAATTTTAAGAGACATTTCAATTTTTTTATTATTCCATTAATTTCTTCAACATTTAAATACTAATTAGAATTTGATTTCATATTATCACACTTTGAACAATTATTATCTCACCCAGGACCATTGTAATTACCCCTTACAATGTGCTTCATGTCTCCCACTCTAGCATTGCAATTTGAATAGAGTACGTTTTTATTTGAAGCATTTAATTTTTTACGAAAAATTATTTTTTTCTACAAATTAAAATTTTCTCTATAAATTTCTATAAATTAAAGCTGTCAGTAAAAATACAGTAACTGTTCATCGAAAAATTAGCTTTTAATTTTGAAATTTCTTTTATAATAAGCCAATGTAATATTGTTGGAACTTTGTCAAAAATGCGATTTTTAATTCAATTTATATTTTAAAAAATTCTATTTCAGTCCTTATCCTCATGAAACCGCTCAAGAACAAGCATTTTTGATAGACAATAATGACACAAACATACTTGATTTTGAGCCGAACTTGAAAACCCTGGCAATATTAGCCGTTGTTGAAAATCGCATTGATACCACCTGGTTACCCAGAGAATTAAGGTGAGTTTTTAAATCTCCTTACAATAATAAAATGTATTAATAAATTATTTTATATATAAATTACAGACTAGAAATAAAAGCCATGACACAACCAAATTCCATAAGTCGACCCATTAATCATGCTGGTTGAAGGGATCTTATAAGAGGATAACAGAAGTAGCAGAAACATAATTCACAAAAATGAAACTAGAAACAGTTAAAAAAAAAGCTGTTTTTATTTTCAAAATTTAAAGTCACTGTTGGAAAAGAAAAGCAAATTGTTTACAAATAGCGCAATTAAATTTTAATTTTTTTAACACACATTAATCTCATTCCCTCCACCACCACCATCACCCATCAATTGCTCCCTCGTCAGTAAGATATACATACATCCACAAATACGTACATTTATACAAAATATAAGAAACACAAAAAATTTACTAAAGTATCGATGATTCTTTTTGTTAGAAAAAGTGTTCAACTGCCAACTTTGTAGTTTGTTACTCGAAAACATTATGGGTATGCACGTCACCATTTTTATCCTTAGAATCACTTGCAAGTTTGCAGTGTTTAAAAATGGTGATGAGCATACATACACTTCTTAATTTTGTTGACATTTTTTAGGATTCCGAGTGTGTTTTTTATGTAATTTTTGTATTTTTTTTTAGTTATTTTAAGTTTGTAAAAATGAAAAGTATTTAAAAAAAAATTGTGTTATTAATTTCAGATTATTTTTTTTATAAATATATATTTAAGTTATACATAAATATAAATTCTTAACACATGTTTAATAAAAATGGAATCTTAAGTCAAAATTTTGTAAAAATTATGGAAGAAATTTTTTTGTTATTGTAATCGCTGTTTGCATAATAAACCCTTAACTGCGTTCAATTCATATTTGAGGATTTGAGAAAAGCTTGGGAAATGTCTAGCAATAAATTTCTCTAATTCTTAAAATCATTCCACACGTCTGCTATAACCATTATTCATATATTATGGTTTATTTTTTCTATTTACTTGAAATAAAAAAAGTTAAAAGTTGTTTTTGAAAGTTATTATTTTTTATTCCTTTCTTTATTAAATATGCGTACAAACTGGATTACAATTTTATTATTTTTAATAAAATGACAAACAAACTTTCAAACTTTTTAATACACATTGATGTTACTAAAAATCTAAGATGTATAGTTAAATAAATAATGTGATCATAATTTCCCAAAGATAATAATTAAAGAAAAGAAAACTATAATCACTTTTAATATATATTTTTCGTTTGCAATTTTAATTTTTCTATACAATTCTTAATGAGGGATTTAATTTAAATTCAAGTCTTTTCTTTAAATTGCTGGAAATTAGAGTTGATAAATGTCACTAAATACGACCATTTAAAACCCACAAACTTATAAAGGTTTTTCAATTTAAATAAGAAATTTAAAATTTCATTGCTTATAGCGTGTTTGTTCGGGATGATTATTATGAAAATGATTACAGCTAAGAAGACCCACAATAAATGAAACCACCATTCTCTGGACTATAAGGAGGCATTGTCTATGTAACGTATTTTCCATTCATTTCTAACATCCTGCCAGTTGACTGAAGGACAGTCCTTAATCAAATGCCAATTGGGCGAAGGGACATCAGGTGACAGCCAATTGAAATCAGCGACGTCAGTGTAGTTGTTCTGCTCTTTATTAAGACCGGCCAATTTAAAGTCCTCTTCAATGTGGGCGTATTCATAATTATAGGGAGCTATTTCGATTTCTTTACAGTCCTCTATGATGCCGCGACAGGTAACGTGCAAATAAATGCGACACTTTGCCGATGAATGGAATCTTAGTTGCTGACAGGCCACATTAAGGGCGCAGTTATTGCAGTATTCAGCAAATAGAGAACGAGCTATGGGACCACATAGAAATGTGCAGTCTTGGCAATTTGATATTTGTACCGAACCGGCTGGTCCCTGCAGTTCCACAAAGCAATTCTTTAAACTGGATATAGTAATATCTTTGCCATTGACTTGTTCTTCTTTTAGACAGATGTATTCGTTTTTAAGATTGGACAGAGTCCAGTTGACCACATTTTGACTGGAGGCGGTAGTTTGCAGTTTTTCCGAAGAGTCAAGTTTGTCATTTAAAGATAGTTTGGGATTCAACGCTGGCTTGGGTGTTACTTTGCGGCCACTAAAACCAAATTTCTTTTTGGGCATTAAACGTATTCTGGTCTCTTCGCAGGTGGCCAAGAGATCGTTTACTATTTTTTGACATGACTTTATTTTGTATTCCGTGAGGAATGTTGTGGAATTAGTTAAATATTTCTGCAATTCTTGGATTTCTATAGTGATGTCGGCAAAGTATCGCGCCAGATCTATGGTGGGACCATCACCCGCAGATTTTTTGGCTGTAGCTTCGGTAACATTTTTAATTCGCAATTCAATTTCACGCACTTTATCAGCAAAGGTTTGTTTGAAATAATCTGCTCCCTCTAATTCAGAACTGTCCTTGTGACGCTGTTCAAGTTTTACATCTAAATAGTTTTGACGTTCTTTATTGCGTTTATTAAGACGTTCTAATATTTGATCTTTTTTAATAGCAGGATTTGTGAGATTGTTGATCGTAGAATCTGTTTGCTCCATAGTTTGCAAAGTGTTGTCTTCTAAATCGTGGTTCATGTTGAGCTGAATTTTTTTTATCTAATTTTCAGGTTTCTTTAAATAAACAGGATCTTTTTGGTAGGCTGCTTCTTGCAATTTCTTAAGGAATAATACTTTCTTTTTCTCGTCTTCTGTTAGATGGATACCAGCGGTAGTAGCACGAATTTTCGCTATCTTTTCCTCAGAAGGTGCAGTTAAACGCATGAGACCATACCCAAGGCCGCCTATTGATATTAACCAAAATAGTGATTTAACATAAGGATTTGAAGCCATTTACGTTAATATTTAGTTTTTCAAGTGTTTACAAATTAAAAAAGTAAATAAAGTATTTTTAAGATAGTAGAAGGAAAACTTAAAATTTTAAAGAGTGTGTGTGGGGGTTAACAATTAGGAGTTTGAACTACAGTATTTTTTAATATTTAGTTGAGTTTAATTAAAACTGAATTTACTTTATTTTGGAGTTTTGTTTTGACTATTTTTATTTGGATTTGTTATTTTTTGGGGAATTATTCCTTCTTTTCCTGAGTACGCCAAATGGTAGAATCGATTTCTCTCAAATTACTATCGCCAAGAAATTCTCCAACTTTATAGTAATAATCCAATACGAAAGGGAAGTTTTCGTTAATGTACTGACGGAACTCTGTTTTAAAAATAAAAGAAATATTTTTCTCATTAAATTAAATAGAAATAATAACGCAGATATTTTAATAAATTCATAATAACATCTGATGCAGTGACTTGTGCCACAATTGTTCTTATTTTTAAAATTTTCTCATTATGCAGTTAGTAATCTTAAAAGATTTTATTTACGATAGGAAAAACGGAAATGTATAGTAAATTTAACTAAATTCAGAATATTAAACCGCAATTGCAGTATTTTCTTTTATAGATACTTGTGCATCTGTCCACTGAATAAAAAAACACTTAGATAGACATGCACATTTTTCAAATTGTAATTTTATAAAATTAAGAAATTGCTACATAACTTCAATGTCTGCAAAATTGGTCTCAAAATATTTATCCAAAAATGAATTTTGTAAAGAATACCTTGTAAAACTTATTTACTCCGAATTTCATTGCAACTTTTGTTTTATCGGGGCAATATAGTGTTAGAAAGTCTTTAAGGAAAAAAGGATTTATGACATTAGATACAAAAATTATTTAAAAATAGGCAATCGTTTAAAGATTGTAATCCTAATAATTTCCTCATAGAAATGCAATTCATAAGATCAATTTAATTTTAAAGTAGTCATCGGATTTTTGGACGCATTTTATACTATTGGATTGACCAGATATCAATTCTAAAATAATGTGAACTGACGAAAATATAATGAGTGTAAACTTTACACTTTACCGTAAAGTGTACAAATCTCTAAAATCTTTTAAAAATAGGTATAACATCCATTACACTTCCCTTAACTGCCCATCTTAATATGTAAATAAAACATAATTTTCCGCTACACTTTAATAAATATGATTAACGGATATTTTTAGATTTCTTACGGGATTAACTTACTATGCAAATCAATAGTTACAAGTATTAGGATCAATTAAATTTAACAAAACTGTAAGAAACTGATGCAAATATTTATAAATTACTATGACGCAATAATCAAAACATCAAATCAATAATACGAGTAGTAGAAGAGTTGCAGTAAAAAACAACAACATACTTCTCAAATCAAAGACCTCTGACTGACTCATCCATCTGAATTTGTCAGTTTGTGTCTGACAAAGTGACGTTGTATGTATCCATTTTATGTGTGTAAACTAAAAAAGAGACCTACCCTATTGTAAACGGCTTTTACAAGTCACTTGTATCCTTTTTTGCAAATTTTTTTCACAAATGAATTTCACAACTTTCACTAGTTTTTATTTTAATTACATAAATATCACCAAATAATATACATACGTACCACGATTTGTATTCATGCGATAATAAACTCCGTATGATGCTGCAAAGCAAAAGGTTTCTATAATAAAAAGTGTCTTAGCACTGCTTTTGACGAATTTCCAGAAAGGACTTTTGGGTGTTTTTGGCAACATTACACGTATTAATAAACTATTTAAATATTTCTTTTTCTTTGCAATCGAAATTTTGCATGAATTTAGCAAAAACAAAACACAGAAGGTTAATAAAATCTGCACGAGTTTTTCTTCAATTTTTCGAACGAAAATTAAGAATTGGAAAAATGTACAACTAAACAGCTGTTGAATTCATACTGTCAAATTGTTTTTGTAATAGCAAATTCAGTGTTGTATTTTTAAAATATTTAACACTATAAGAGGTGTTGTTAAAAATTTACACCATTAACTGCCATCTTTTTAAGAGATTATGATGGAAATTAGTGTTTATGTAATATGTCTGTATATTTATATACATAATATGCCAATATTACTCAATGGCTAATTAAATGTAACCAAAAAGATGATAGAAAATTTCGATAATGAAATTAATCGATTTCATCGAAAGCGCATTCACAAAAAAATTAGATAGTTGTACCCTTCACCACTATAGCAGGGAGAGTATTATGTTGATGTTTATAACACCCAAAAATATTGGTTCCCACCTAAAAGTATACCAAATGGTGTAGATTAAGCTATGTCCGTCCGTCCGCCTGTCTTTCAAATAAACATTCAAGGTCACATTTTTCAAGAAAATTTGATGAAATCTGGCACATACTTTTCTTTTGACCCAAGCACAAGCCCATCAAAATAATTAAAATTGGTCAATTATTTCCTAGATCCAATACAACAGTATCCCGAATAGGAATTTTGAGTTCATAAATATGCTAAATGCTCTTGTATCTCTCCAAAAATCGGCTAAACTTAGTTTTATACACATAATTCTAAATGACACTACCAATTATTGTAATGATCGGGATTCATATGTCCCTAGCCCTAATCCACATTTTTACATAATGCTGTAGGGTACAATATGGCCGACCATGCACGACTATACATTCTTACTTCTTATGGTTTAAATTATATTCTTTGGTTTAGAGCGTGTGCCAAATCATAGCAAAGTTCTATGGTGGATTGTAATTTTCCTATGGTGGGAACATTTTTACATTTTGCTGTGCCAAACGATATCTTTTTTGACATTAAATTTTTACAATTGTCACTAATTTCACAAGAAAATCTGCATTTATTTTAATAAAAGAAACACTTTTATTGATTTTTTATTATTAAATAAATTTCTACAATCACAAATGTATTATAAATAAAATTATAAAATATTTTATTTTTTGTATTTTCAAATTTTTCTTTTCATTTGTCAAAAATGTATGTGCTAGTAAAATTTTATTCACCTCATAGCTATCAAAAATTTACATTTTCAAGTAAATTGTTACCGATTGGCACCACTCTTAAATTTACAAATTTAAACAAATTTGTATGTACGTATATCAAATTTAAAAAAAAAAAAAATATGTATGTTTTAAAAATATTAATATATCGCACATTTACTACAAGACTAGCATAATCCAAAATTTGGGATTTTTGAACTGAGTACTAGAAAATATGTGGCATATAAAGTTTTTCATATAGTTTTGTATATTTTCAAACATCTGTTATTTTTTCATGTAAACGTCAATTCTAAAACCTAATTTTTCATTTGATAAGTAAATATTTAGTTTAAGTTCATATTTTTATATATAAAATAGGTATGTATTCACCTATTTTATATATTTCGTTTTATTTTTTAAATCCAACAATCAGTTTGAAAGTTATTTACTCAAAACAAAGTTTTTTGATTTATGCCTGTCTTGCAGTAAATGAGCGATATATATATTTTGTTAATTAAAAAAAAAAAATCCCAATATTTTCAATTTTTTTAAATGTCTAGGCCCGTTATCTCAACGATACCCATTATTAAAAACATAATGGATAACTGTGTGGTCAAGGATTAATTGAAAACATTAAATCTTTCAAATTGTGATAAAAATAAGCCTTCATAATGTAGATTACTACAAAACAGTGACTTTAAGGACTAATCCAATTTGAAGATAGCTTGATTTTTGATGCGGATCCTGAAATTTTTCCAGTAGCCTAATCAGGGAGTATGTATTTCAGAGAAAAGGCTATAAGACAAATTAAAAACACATCTCTATGCATTTTTCTTGTAATGACAAGTAATTTTGATTTTTTTTAAGAAATAACGATAAAATAATCATGCTAATGATAAAAACAATTATTAAAAATATAATGGTGGCTAATAAGACTATTGACAGTCCGAATTGATATTTATCCGATATTTTCTTATAGTTATTTGATACTTTCTTTAAAAATTCTAAGATAATTTACATATTTTCGGTCCCTAGCTTATTCGAATATGTATAAATAAATTTCTATAAATAAAATGAAACTAAATATATATACACATACATTTTATTTAATTGATCATATTCCCACAATTAAACGATTGTAATTTCATGACGAAATGAAATTACGTCCAAATACTACGATCGACCACAAACACAACCGATTTGTATACAAAACTACCAGTACAGTTAATAATTGCTCAAATATTCATTGATGAATCCATACGCCACATTATAAACCACATATGAAGAAGACACCTCATCAACCAAGTGTTTACTCACATAGTAAATAGAATTTTTATGAATGAATTTCTACGTAATCACCATCATAACACCAGGCCGTAGTATTGTAAAAATGATAAAAGCGTGTGCAGATACACTTATACTTAAATACATATTACTTATCTTAAAAGCAAAAAGAGATAATTTGTACGTATTAACTAGAAAATGTACTGCATTTCGACGAAGTACAAGAAATGAATCATCTCCCATGTGAAAGAGTATTCTACCTCAAGGCGCCACAATAATATTCCGAATCATTCATACCAATCAGTATTAAATTTGATGGTGGGACGGAAACATCAAAACAGTTTAGAATAGTATATCAACCACAAATACGAGGAAATTCTAAAGAAATTCCCATTAAAATATATTCATTCAATTTTATAAAAATAGTACAATCAATTAGACATACACAAAGCTTCGTACATAGAAAAGTTGGCAAATCTATAACACGAATCAAAACAACAATATTAAAATTATAATTAAAAATAAAAAAAATAAATAATCGCAAAGTACAACAATAACGATCTCATGCCTAAAAATGCCAAAATACACTCATACAAATTTTCTACGAATGATGACGACGCAGAAAAAATTGTTTGTTGTTATGAATTTTTCATCATTCAGTTGCTAATATTGAAATTGTTGTCCACATTGCTTTGTAAGTGAATAGAATGTTTGTTTGTACATTTGGGGAATCTCCACATGCTCCACTAGTTAACTAATAATAACAACAAATTCAACTATTCAGTTGTTTTTGTGGAGGTGAGTGAGTCATCATTCCTCGATAGCAACAATAACACTGCCAAAGTCACTTCATGTACGAAGTATCTGTGTTGCGTCTAATGTACGAATATTTTTTTGTTTTGATTTCTGTCTGATCTCACATTTACAGACCCTCTCATTCATTTAAACTCTCCTTTGTATGACGACGTCATTGATGATCGGACTAAAAAAATGATTACGTTGAAAAGTATACTATCTATTAAATACAGATAGTCATGATTATTATTTATTCATTCATAAAAATTTTCAATTGGATTTATATCTGAGAGATATATATTAACTTATAATATGCCAAGAGAATAAGTTTTTTTGTAATAGTATTGGAAATTTTTTATTGTTTATACACTCGAGAAATTATATCAGTTAATAGGTTTTCTACTGAAGAATGATTTTTAAATTTTCTTGAACATTTATTCCAAAAAATTCCAGTTTTATAAAAAATTTTTGATATGTTTGTATTTTAGTTATCTTTAATGTCTAACCCCTTATTTTGTAAATTAAAAATATTTTAAACAATATATTTAATTTACACACAAAAATACAATTCCGCATAAATTATTAATCCGTTATAAACTAATGTAGAATCTTCTAACAGAATATGATGGCGATTATAAAGATTATAAACTCATTCCATAGTACAACTGTCGACCCCATAACGCTTCCACATAAATAGTTTCGAAGGTAATAATTTTTAATTGTGCGTTCTGAATCTAGTTCCGAAACTAAAATAATTTTTCTTGGGTAGTTTCATAATATTTGATATTTTCAAACTTAACAATTTTATTAAAAAAGATCCAAATTTGGAAATTTTAGAAAAGTTTACTTGAATATTTTTATTAAAATTATATATCGGATAAAAATGTCATTGTTCAAATGATAGCTGATGATCCAAACTAATCAATTGTATCTCTTCAATTTGAACTAACAATATTTTTCCAGTGTATTACTCTTTCAGTAAGAGATTGTTTTGCGAATTTCTCTTTCAGTTGTATCTGTGTGTTGATTATTAAAAGATTGTGTGAAATTCATTGATCGTTTTTTTTTCTGCTGTTGGTTGACAAGGTAGTACAACAACGTTTGTAGAAGTTTCAAATCACTTGCAATTCGGTCGCGTAACTGATCACGACAAGGACGTTGTCAGTCAATAGATTAGTAAAAACAACAATGTGTAAAGTTTACAAAAATTAAAATAATAAAATAAAATTAATAACAAATAAAACGTTACTAAAACAAAAGAAATAAAACAAAAATAAACGAATAATTAAAAAAGCTATAATAAAAATAAATAATAGCAGAAAAGTTTACAATAAAAAATAAATTAAAAAAAAATACATACACATAAAAGTAAAAAAGATTTAAGTGAATGCTTTTGATTATGATAATAATATTCGGACAAGTTGTGGTTTACTTAAGAGTGTGACCGTCGCTAATACCGCGTTTGCGATCGATTTTCTTTTAGTGAATCATACCCGCGATCTAGCCACACGCAAATATTGTTTTGACGTATATTTCGTGGAATCCCTAGTACAACTATGTGAATCATAATTTCAGTCTGCATTTACAAACAATATTTTTTCATTCACAATCGTAATTTAATCGCTTGAAAGAGAGAAAATAAAATAAACAATTTTTAATTTACCGGCCGGTGACTTGGCTTATTATATGTTTAATTTTTTATAATTCTACGAGTGTTTAAGCCAAAAATAATTGTATTCATTTTATATTGATAATGTTAGCGTTTCAAATAGTTAAGGCACGAAATATCTTGTGGTTTTTCCTAGAACGCTTAAGAACTTAAGACTTTTAGGTCTCCAACGTGTCGTAGTGTCGTCAAGCTTTTGTTGTTTAAATTTTTTATAAATGGCTGTTATTTTAAATTATTGCTTTACTTGCGAAACTGCTCCAACAACAGAAACGAATTTATTCTCAGAATTGATGCGTAAACCAAATTCGCCAACCTTATTGAAAATCCAAATGCATGAAAATGAACCGCAAGAAGAAGTCAGCAAAAGTGCGAAAACAGTACAAACCGGCGTGGAAGAAAAGAAAACGAGTAAAAAAAGATCATTACGAAAATTACCGCCTCCTAGGCGTTATAGTTCTTCCTCCAGTAATAGCAGTGATAGTAGCAGTAGTAGTAGTTCCTCATCAAAAAGTACTTACACCGATCGTTCAGAATCGGATAATTCATCAACCACAGATACTAGTGATAATTCTCAACTAAGTAAAAACAAAAAGAAAATACCACCTGCCTTGCCATCAATAGAATCGCAAAGTACTTCTCCTGTCTTAGTGGATAATCCTGATGTTGTTTCTAAAGAAACCACTCCGCCTCCACCCTCGCCAGTTGAAGTTCCTTTGGATCCACGTGTTTGGAAAGCCGAACACATAGCCGGCTGGGTTAAATGGATGACTAAACAGTTTAAAATTGAACCGGAACCAGATATTGCACGTTTTCCCACGACCGGTGCCGAACTTTGCACTCTTAGTCGAGCCGAATTTTGGGTTTGTGCGGGGTCTCGTGAAGGGGGCATTTTATTTGCAAAACATTTCGCGTTAACTCTGCACAGTGCAACGGGCAGAGAAACAAGTCCCATGTTAAATGACAATGAACCGAGTAAGTTTTTTTATTTGAAATACATTTTAAAATTGTTCAAGTTTTAATGAAACTTCCCGGATGTTTCCTTAACACTTGAGCAAACGTTCTAACTGTGGAAATTTGTTTTAAATTAAACCGAATTTTTTTGTTTTTTTGAATTAATCCTGAAGCAGAGCATAGCAGACTTAAAGGATATGCTTTTTAAATAGTAAAATAGATACTTCACTTTTACTGCTGGAAGAAATTTATATTCAATTTATATCAATGGCAAATAATTTATTAAGAGATTTTTTTATTTCAATTTATTTTTCCCACACCTTTCAGAAACACTAACCATTCCAAATTGAATGCTTTAATTTTAGTTGTTTATTTATTTGATTTGATTCAAATCGCTTAAATACCTCTCGTTACAATAAATAGCTGCTTGGGGAATTGTTTGAACATAAAGAATTAAATCCTTTTGTGCCCAAAGACTCTCTGTGGTCAAGAGTCAATTGCAATTGCTTTCTTTTAGCACTTTCACATGAAGTTGTCTAAATAATGGCCTGGTAATTTAGGTAGATCTTTCAATGATGATAAGCGTAAAATGTATTAGAGGTCATTCTTTTTTCCACTTCACACCCTTTTGTTATCACACATTCGATATACAATGTTTAACTCATTAAATGATAAGAAGTGTTTATGGAGCATGTGTGGAATACAGTGAGTTATTTCAAATCCTTACAAGTAAATAATAGGGTGGAGCTTAAATATTCGATAATATTAAATAAACTACTAAGGCATTTTTATCTCAAGTGGCCCAACTTTTAAAATCGATGTCTTCCGATTTAGATGAAATTTTCACCACGGTTAGTACTATTGGATAGTAGGCCAGGCTCAAACTAAGTAAGGTCTAAGCTTTCTTTGGAGCAAAAAAAAAAAAAAAAGACAACAAAAACGTCATTTTGAAAAAAAAAATGGGGAAAATTAAAATTTTTAAAAACAAAATATTTTTGTTCAATTTTGAAACTGTGAACATATGTACATACAGTTGGGTCAGTTAAAATTTGACGGAAAGGTTTCGGTTCGCATAATACTTATTCATTTCGAATTTCATCGCTCTACTCGTATTTTTAATTCAGTCGTGAGCGTAAGAGTAATTTTCTGAAGGGGACCTTATATGCTGGTAGGGTCAGTTTTAAATCAATCCTCCTTAAATTCGGAATGATTTTGTTTCTAAGTATAAACATTTGTATAGAAAGATTTTCGTTCCTATAAAATCTTCTTATATCAAATTGCAAACTGTACACCAGTAAATATGCCAGCAAATACATATCGTTAAAGTAATTTTCTAAAGGAGACCATATATGCGAGTAGGGTCAATTATGAACTGATTTACATAAAATTTGGTTAAGAGAAAATTACTTGAGTCGAATTTCATCGCAAAACTCGTATTTTTAAGTCAGTAATGAGCGTTAAAGTAATTTTCTGAAAGGGACCTTATATAGGGGTAGGGTCGATCCACATACAATTTGGTAGAGAGGTTTTGGTCACAGAGTGAAATTTCATCGCTATAGTCGTATTTTTATACCAGCAATGAGCGTTTTCTGAATTGAAACTTATATGGGGGGTAGGGTCAATTATGGACCGATCCATATAAAATTTGGTAGAGAGAGAGAAAAAAATGAAATAGCTATCTGAACTCCTTTGCTTGGACCATTTGAGTAAAACCCTGTTTTACTTTTTTTTCGGTTTTAAAACCGATTTGATTTACAGAACAGACGTGATAAATAAATATGTTTATAAATCTATATATCGTCACCTAAAACGCAAACGGCCCTATCTAACATTTTTAAAATTTTACAACTGAAGCAAAAAACTATTGAAATTGAAAAGTTTGTTTCTATCAACGCGAAACCTATCAGTTATAATGACAGTTGACAATGGCGTATATAAAAATGGATAAATTGGACATTTCCTTTAATATTTAAATGGTTTTGTAGATAGGCCCTTTTATTTTTTGTTAATTTTGGTCGGAGGAGTCCAAGTTTTTGTGTGGACATTTGTTTTGATGTAATACATTATAATCAACAATAAAATCGATTTTGAATTTTTGGTTAGTTAAGGCCGTTTGCGTTTCAGGTGACGATATATATATATATATATATATATATATATATATATATATATATATATATATATATATATATATATATATATATATATATATATATATATATATATATAAATGAATGTATGTTTGTATATTTGAAGTTTATAGAAGACTAAACGGCTGAACCGATTTTCTTCAAATTTTCAGTGTCTTTTGTGATTTTTATTTTGAAATTTTAAGTTGGCGTGGAGCCACGCTCACATACAAAAGGAATCGCATATCTCAGAAACCGCAACAGCTAGAGTCTTAACGTTTTTAGGACAACTTTGACGTCCATAAGAATATTTGTGGACAAAATGAACGGAATGGCACCTTCCATATTAAAAAAAATATTAAATCAGTATCAAATCTGAGAAAATATGACAGAGTCGTCAAATTTGTGTCAATATAATTATTTATGACAGCAGAAGGAGGCTTGGCAATGAAATGGTGTGATTCCTACTAGAAGTTTCAGGGTAGTGCGAGGAATAATTGAAATTTAATGTTATATTGTCTTTTTCTTTTTAAAGACTGAAAACTTGACACAATCATTTTATAAAACTGAGTTTTTATTCGTTTCAAAACATATCGCTGATTTACCTCTAGACTGGCATAACTATAGAAATATAATTTTGGTTTTGATTGTTTTATGACATTTTACTATTTTTAGTGCTCATTTCCATGTATAACTACTTTTTTAAAATAAATTTATTAAAAATAAATATTTAATTAACTTGGAAAATATAATTAAACACTAATACCCTAAAACACTTAAAGTAATACTATCTTAAGAAATATGAAAGAATAACTTAAGTAAATTTACCTAAGACTCTTAAAAAACACAACATCTCAGGTTATTAACTGTGTAAATGACTTCACGACCATAAACAATAAATTGAGCAAGCATTTCATTACTTTTTGTTAAAAACTCCCAAAGTCAAATAGCGAAACCATGATGAAGGCATTAACGATGTGAAGGGCAGACACATGGAATGCATTGTCATGTCATTTCGGTGGCTCAAGTGATGAACTGTAATAAACGATGTAAATATGATAATTTCTCACAGGATGTGGCATCTAATAAAAATCACAATAATCCTAGATGCTTCAACATTCACAACACACAGCACAAGTAATGAAGGATCAACATAGGAAGGAATGGAAGTAGTGACAGAAATCATTGAATTCCGTTCGCAAACAATAAAATCACTAACAAACAGCATGGGGTCATAAAGTCATGTCATGACTCTTTGCGCATTTATCTATGAGATTTTTGTTATTACTATTGTTATGGGGTTGAATGTGAGGATAATAGCAAGTGTTTGTAGCTTTTAGTGAAAAGACCACCCACTATGTTGAATGTAAAGGAAAGTAGGAAGGAAGAAGTTAACATGTTAAATGTAAAATAAACAAGTTGAAAAAATGCAAAACAAAAGCGGAAACTGCGAAAGTTTGGCAGGAAAATATTCATTCGTCGCTTATTTCCCCTTATTGGCTTAATTTCATGTTCAATGAAATATGAAAATTTTGAATCATTATTATTCTATAATTATAAGAATTTAGTATATAGGTTTAAAAAAGTTTTGGTATTTTAGAAAAAATATCATAAAATTAATTCTCAAATGACCCCCATTTCATTAAAACAGGCTGTGATCCACAAATTAAGAAGCCGAGATCCATGCCTTAAATGTTTAATATGTATACATATTATGCTTACAAGTCTATCTATAAGAAATGTTTTCAAATTAATTGATTAGATTTCTTAGTGAATTAAAATCAAATCTAGATATAATACTTAGGAGTAAGCCAAATATTTTCTACTTGGAGGGGGGTTAATTTAAGCTAACAATAGCTGACAAAGGTTGGCACATATTGAATTTTTCCGGCTAAAGGATAACAATACAACAACCACAACAAGCAGTAGTTGAAACGCCAGCACCATTATCAACATCATAAGGAATAAATTTGCCACCCATTGGGTGAATGAGATTGACTCTAGCATCAGAAGAGTATGTATTGTAATTTTCATAGTGCAAGGTGGTTGGATATCTTAAGTAGTGGAAACTTTTATTAAACAACTACATACAATATTTAGTTAGATTCAGACACTCGCACGAAACGGTTACAAATAACGGAATATGAAACAGTTTAGATTTGAACAAATATTTGCTGTTACTTAATATCAACTTCCTGTGCAGAAATTCCTCCTTTACTCAGCTGATTAAATTTATTTAAAAAATAAAAACAAAAATAATTTAACAAAATATAAATAAACTAAAAATATTTTATGAATTTTTAAAAATAAAATTCTCGGAATTGGACTGTGAATAATTGTGAACAGACGAAAAATTACTCGTTCGTATAAACGTTTAACGAAAACAAGTTTTATTTAAGAGGAACCAAAAACATATATAAATTATTTGTATTTAAATATTTTTCTTTAACAATGAGTGTCAGTGTTGATGTGGGCGTTATGTGGCGCCTCTCTGAAGATTTTAATCGGCGATTTGGTGTACGTATGCAACCACCAGCGCCACCACACCATTCACATTATCATGGACATCCGAGTCATCATACGACGGCTACAGCAAGATCTATGATATTTAATGGTTCGTTATCATAATCATTACGATGAAATAAACACTAATTAGCAAAAATGTTTTACAAATTAATAAAATAATAAATTAAATTTTATTTGCGTTTTTAAACAAATTAATAAACTGCCAATGGTTTATTAAACATTTGTGACACTTCGAATTATGTAAAAAATTTTATGAGTAAATAAATTACGGATACCGGACTATATATTTAAATATTTGTAAATTGAAAATTTTGTATAAAAAATTCCAATCTTTTTTAAATTGAATTATGTTTTAAATGATTAATAATTCTTAGATTTACTTAAGGCAATTAATTCATAAACCGTCCCATGTAGTTGAATTAATTCCCAGATAAATTCCTATGAAATCTTAATTCCTATCAAATAAATTAATTTTGTTTGAATTCGATCTATTATAAATCGAATTAAAAAATTTCAAACTTTAATTTTACCTACACGATTTAAAATCGTATTTCTGAAATATCTGAATTTTTCAATTGTATTTTTTAAAATTCTTATTGTATTTCAGAGAATTGGAATTTAACTTAAATGTATGTAAATTACAATTGCATTTCGGAAATTGTTAATAGAATTATCATGTAAAATTTAGGAAATACAAATTTTGCAGACTACGCCACAGATAGAAGCAATTAGAAATTTTAAAAGAAAATTTAAAGAAAAACGTGTATCTTTAAAGTTTTTTAAAAACTAGTTCAAAGTATTTTTCAATTTAAATTTTGTCTGAATTTTGTATTGCTTTTAGCGAATTAATTGAAAATAACATTTAAATCATAAATTCTCCCTATACTTTTTTTATAAATATGTTTTATAATCCGATTATTTAAATTATTCAATTAGTTTTGAATGCACGGGCAATTGGTTTGTAAGAAATAATTCTTGGATTCATGACGTTAATGTATTTTGTAAACACGTTTAAAATCAAAATCTTTATATTATATTTGTATTAAGCAGAAACTTGTATAATTTTATTCATTAAAATTCTTTGTAATGTCATTAGCACATCCTTAAACAAATACCACAATAATTAAATTCAAATTAAATATTATTTAACATTGATAGAGAAAGAATGGGTTACCATAAACAAATGTAATTCCCCTTCAAAACCGAATTCCTTAATTAAACTGATACGTACATTAAATCTAGTTCCGCTTAACATTTTAGCTAAATGATATTGATCATTATAGATACATTTTACTTTAAATTAATAAAAAATTATAATAAATTTTATTTACGTTCCGTTTATTTCTTGTTAATTTTAACAATAATTCAGCCTTGTGAATTAAAACACTACGAAAAAACCAACATCGAAAAGTTCAAAAGTGGTTTTATTTGTTAAATAAAATTCCAAGAAATTTGTTGAATACATTTTTTTCTCAAAGAGTTGTTTAATTCCTACAAATGCCACCATAATGTTTGGATTTTTTAATTTTTTTTTATTTCATCTCCTGATACACGAATATTATTAACATTTGGTATCTTTTTGTTACGTTTGTTACTTCCATGTGTGTTATAATTTTTTCGTTTGCTTTATTTTTCAGATCCATACCAACTTTTAAATGCCGCTTCACATCGATTGGTTGTTCAGGGTTCGGGGCAGATACAATTGTGGCAATTTTTGCTTGAACTGCTTGGTGATTCGTCGAAAAGTAATTGCATATCATGGGAAGGCACCAATGGAGAGTTTAAATTAATCGACCCTGATATGGTGGCCAAATTGTGGGGAGAGCGCAAAGCAAAACCAAATATGAACTATGATAAACTTAGTAGAGCTTTACGGTAAGTAAGAGAAGAATACAAACTTTAATGTGTATGGGTGTGTATCTGTGTCTATAGTATGTTTTATAAACAGTGTTACCACAGGAAAATAATCATTTATGCAGTGGTTTTTGTGATTTTAAATTCAAAATTAGGATTCCCTTCTTGATGCTTTTGTAGAGTCAATAAATTATATTTTCTAAAATATTTTTTAAAATTCCATTATTTTGGATAATTTTGTAAAATAAGTTTTCTTTACAATTTGAATACCGTCACCTGAAATGTAACAACCAAATAATTTAAAATCGACATTTTGATTGAAAATGGCCCACTGGATCAAAATACATGTTGTCGCAAATTTTTAGAACTCTATTGTCAAAAACTCCAATTTTATTGACATGGCAGTACAACAAATTAGTCATTTCCACAAGTCATAAATCCCTAAAAAGCAACATAATAGGCTATGTCTGGCGGTACAGTCATATTTAAACGTGTTTATTGATGTTGGGATATAAATCTTATAAAAAATTATGTTTTTATAGCCTTTTGTCTCTCCTATAAAAATTTTAAAAGTGTTCTTACACCCTTTTGAATTTCAGGAGACGATATGCTGCACAAGAATTCCTCAAAATATTTAAATTTGGCTATAAATACTTCGATACCGAAAAATTCGTAAATTGCTCAACTTGTTCAGATTTTTGTTCTAATATATTTTCGATTTAAACTCCACCCACAAAATTATCTACATATCTAATATTCGTGAAAACATGGGTTTTATGTGTAGTTTCTAGATAGTGAGTACTTTAGTAAAAATATTACATGTATTTTGTTTTTGTTACAATAACAAAATACAAAGAAAATTTTAACTCAAAGTGCTTGCACGTTATCTAGAAACAGGCCCTTAGTTCTAATACAACAAAAAATCGAACTCACTGCGAAAATGCCAGTCTTGTAGTAAATGAGCGATATAATAAAATGCATATTAAAAATCACTCATTGCTTGAAAAGTTGTAAACTAGACAACAGTTGCCTGAACCGCCAAAATTTAAACAAAAAAGTAAAAAAACTTCCTCTCACTTGTAACTGAATTTAATGCAGTTTTTATCGCTCAAACAGGGCGAAAATTGGCCACATAAGAATTCTTTGTTTTCATAAAAATTTTCGCAAATTAGAATTTTAACATCGAAAATTAAGTAAAACTTAAATAACATTTAGCGTGAACTTATATAACCATCCCTAAATGTATAAAGTAGGTATTTCTTGCCTTTCACTTTTAACATTTTATTCTATGGCAATACATTGGCAACACCGTTCTGATAAAAGAGAAAAACATACATACATATGTACATATTTCAGAGAGATGTTTTTGTGTTGCGATTATGCGTGGGTAACAACAACATTTAAGTGGTTGAATTTCACTAAGGATAGAAATGTGTATGCATTCCGATACATACTACATATATTTATTCGCGGATACAGATATATTTTTTGGAAAAAGGTGAACGATTTTTTTATGTAACTTATTAAACTTATAATGTCTAAGTTAGCCAAAATGGTCAGTAGACTTAATATCAGGAATCCATAAAAATACCTTATGTATCCATTTTATTCTATAAAATAATTTAAATATCCATTTAAAAAAAATTATGTTTATACTTTGATTTCTCAAAAAGTAAACAAATTGTGTTTTGTATAAATTCGTTCCCTATTTATGGATTAGAATTCTGAGTATAGTACTTTCAAATTAAAAAGTTGGTAAAATTGCTTATTAGGTCGATAAAATTAAAAAAATATTTTGACCTCAAAAATCAAATTTGTTTTTAAAAATCTCGCTTAAAAAAACAGTATTATCCTATAATTTTTAGTGTTACAAACCGTCGATAGTAAGTGTACATAAGAAATAAAATTTTAGGATATAATTGTTTAGAAAATCAAATTAATAAAATTATTAATGAATCCGGGAATTCCGTTCGAAACTAATTACTAGTAGTGCAAAGTAAAAATCCGAAATGGTAGTTTTAAAAAAGATGTAATATTTTTTAATAAACTGTAACTAAAAAACCGTTATGTATACAAAAAAATCAGTACCTTCAAAGGGTTAAAATAACAATAAAATCGTTGAATACTATAAAATGCCTTTAAAAACATTTTGACGCCGTGTGTCTCGATAGCTTTGTATGAATGAATGTTACACGTTAATAACTTGTAAATGTTGCGAAAAATGCTTTAGCAGATTAATTGCATAAATGATGAGACAGCCATTTCTTTGAAAATAAAGCACAGTTTCACCGAAACACATTACTCGAGTTTCAGTAGGACCGAAACAAATGATGACAAACGAGGCGGCATATGAAAAAAAAATTTTATTATGAAAAAAGCTTATTTTTTTAATACACAAGCTATATAATAAATACAATAACTTAATTTATAGTTTTTTATCTTTTTTTAATTTCAGTTACTATTATGATAAAAACATAATGACAAAAGTCCATGGCAAACGTTATGCATATAAATTTGATTTTCACGGCTTAATGGCGGCTTGTCAGGCACAAGCTCAAGGATGTGATCCTACCACCAGTATGGGCATGTTAAATCCTTATAAAGTTCCTCCGCATCATCATGCTCATCACCATCAACATCATCACTATGCCGCTCAGCATCACAGTTTACATCATTCTCATCACCACCATCATCATCCACCTGCCACTCTTCACTCGGAACACATTTCACCATCTTCGTCAGCTTCTAGTTTAAGTTTTCTGTCGCCGTCAACTGCGTCAATGCCGTCGCCAATAACGGAAGCTATCCCAACATCCTCTAGTATGATAAGTTCTTCTCCGCTCTTAATAACAGGATCTCAACAAGCCAATCTAATGACCACAACAATGGCGCCATCCACATCCTCATCAACATCGGGAATAGCAACGTCCACACCATCAACTACGACAAGCACAACACCGCAAAGAAACACATATTGGTCTTACAGCAGTGGCACAAACTATGAATCAAGACCTCCCTCGGATGCATTTAATTAAATAATTAAAATGAAATTTGTTATTTTTACAAGCCTTCTTATCTTAGCCATATTTAGACAAACAATAGAAAGTTAAGCAACGACAAAATATTGCCAATATTAGTGCAACATTCGCTCCATGTCCGGTATCCATATAATCAACTACACACCCACACAGATTTGTATAATACCACCCATGGTGTAATGTTTATGGTCCTTTTTATATGTGATAAAAATTAATTTGCTGTAATTATAAGAGCATTAGACCCTTGTAATTCCTGCAAAAAATCATTCTCTCCCTCTTTTACGTACGAATAGGGGAGAAAAACATTTAATTTACATTTCATTTAGGAATTGTATGGTTGTACATATGTATGTATGCAAACTTAATTATTAGCACATACTATTAAAGTATTAAAATAATATGTTTATAACTAACTGTTTTGTTGAAGAATTTTTAGATTTAATGTAATTTATTTATTTTGTAGTTAATTATTATTTAAATTAAGATTATTATTTAATATTTCAATATTTATTACACAAAACTATTACAGAACAAATCAATAAATAAAATATTAAATATGAATTTAGATGGTTTATTTTAAAATTTTGTCTGAACAGTTGATTCAGAAATTCGCAGATAATTGAAATAGTACGCAAGGAGGTAAGTTCCAAATACGCATAAAAATTATCAAAACTTCCCCTTTCTCACTTACACACATACATATTTGACCACTAAATTATAATTTGCAGCAGTTAATCATTTAATATAATTTTTTTTTTTCAATATATTTCTTAATTTCTTTAAAATTTAATTACTACATACATATAAGATTAAAATATACAATATTTGGAATTATTTTAATATACCAAAGCACAATAGTTAAACAGAATAAGCAATTGCCAAAATCATAAACAATAGGCAGTAGATCAGAAAACATATACGATCAAAAGCAGTTGCCAATAGCACCCAATCGAATTGTATGGAACGACTTGTGGGTAATTGGCTGGGATTGACATGTGTGGGATCTGAAGTTTCACTTTGATCGGGATTGTCATATACATGTTCACCCAACTCCTTAGTGCCATTATTTAATAGTGAATGAGGTTCGGCTTCTAATGTAAACTGACTGAGAAGAAGAACTCGACCCACAACACCATTCAATAGATTTTTAAGAAACTCGGGAACGCGTTTCTTATGTTTGGCAGTAGAAAGATACAGAACAATGACAGAAATAATGGTGGACAAGCTTAGCATTAGCAAACTGGAGCTGTAGAATAAAACTAGGAAGTTGAAAGATAAGAATTAGTTGTATGTCTTTAAAATGGATTTCTTCTTAAACTTACCCACTAAAGGTGTATTTTCTGCCAATATGGGCAACATTTGGGCAAAATACATGAGAAAGGCAGCCACAACTACAATAACAATACCATTTAGTAGAATTTTTTCGCCCATTTGAGGAGGCAACCAAAATGTTGAAAGACACAACAGTATAATACAAGAAGCAGGAGTAAAAATCACAGCCGAATACATAGATGAACGTCTTTGCAATGTAAAAGTATACTCTAAATAACTATAGAAGTCTTGGGTGACATATTGCGACTTAGCATCGCTTATATCCCATTCGGTGGATTTTATAAGATCTGAATAGTCCAATGTTTCATTTATTTCTACAAATTTCGGGAAAATATTGGTCATGGTCCAAGTGCCTATTTTCAGTTTGCACGTTTGAGTGTCATAAGGCCATAATTTTAAATTTAAATTACAATAGGCCGTATAGACGACGGGAGGTACCCATATAAAACTGCCATCTGATGCTAAAAGTGCCTGAGTATCACCCATATAATCACCCTCGTTACCAGCACTATTGAGTAGGGTGATGTCGGGTTTCCATATTTCACGGGAACGTAAATGTATTGTGGTTATGTTATCAAAATATTCGGGTCGCCAGGTACGTCCCCCATCTTTCCAACGCTATAATATTTATTTCATTATTTATTTATATATTTTACTGTTTCGTTTGTTACTTACAAGAGTAACCCAACCATGCACGGTCATTTTGCCATTAAGCTCATCGATATCGATGTAGCCGACCGACATAAATATCGTTGTGTTTGTCCTTTGTGCGGGTGTAGCCATGGGATGTGCCGTCTTATCATAGTTTGTAAATAGTTGCACATGCAAGCGATCCAAAGTGGTGATATTATATGAATCGTTGTTGCCATCATCATCGGCTAAATTATTAAATTGAAGACAAAGAACTCAGTCAAGAAAAACCTTTTCCCGATAGTATTTACTTTGCAACATGTGTACGAGTATCTTCATTAGCAATGTTTATGAGGGGAAACCATACATACATATGTATGTATTTGAATTGATAACAACCAACCTTGTGTTTTAAAGAATGTTTTAAATATAGAGAGCTTATTGTAAATAAAATACATATGAACAGTTATGTTTTTATAACTGAGTAAAATTTAACTAACTATCAAGGATCAAAGACGAATTATATTGAAACGGTTTGAAATTGGTCTAGGGATACTCTTATATTCCTTACATATGACCTAACGAAACGGAATAAAAGGTTAATTGTAAATAAGTTTTTCGTTGATATTGATAAGTCTGTTATTAAACACGTCTTTGAAAACGTTTGCTGATCGTTACATAATTGATCATTGCTCTAACATAAGAACCCTTCTGAATAGCAATTTAATCATTTAAACGAAAATTTCAATAAAATTTATAAACTTTCAGTCCAGATTCTATATAGGGAACACTATTAAAACAACGTTAAAAATTAAGATTCGTGCATAGCACTCAATACTTTTACTTTTCACAAACTTTATATCACTAGATATTGGAGCACAACATAAAATAAAACAATTTATACTTTGAGGACGTTAAAAATCCAGCTTTGATATTTGTTGATTAATAACTTTGTCCCAATTCCTTACATTTAACCTTATTTATATCAAACCGATCGCTAAAAGCGGAAACACAAGTAATGCGTCTCACATTTTTGCATGTCTGTTAAGGTCAATCAAAACATTTCCTAATGTAATTGCAAGTCTTTATGTCTGATATTAACTAAGTGTATATACACATATTTTAGCTTTATTTTCGTTGTATCATTCAATTTACATTGTATTTCAATTTAAAAAATACTTTAAACATTTGAAAATACTCGTATACTTGACTCTTTATTATGTGCAATTTTTTTTCTTTAAAATTTATGAAAAAACAAATTATTTAATCGCCATAGATTTCAATTTGTCATAAATTCAAACAAGAAGAAAACACATTCAATTCTTTCACTTTGTTTGAAACTTACAAATCACACCCTGCGCTAAAAGTAAAAATATTCCAAATATGAATAACGTGGCACCACGGCAGGAAATAAACATTTTTTTATAACTTTTTTATCACAAATTAAATTCTTTAAGAAACCCTCAGTATTATATATTTAATAAATTTATTTTGCAGTTTCAGTTTAGTTGGGTTTTTTTTAGTAAAAGACCGTTAATATTTTTTAAGCGATGATTACAGCAAGAGACTCAATGTAGAACTGAAATTGCTGCATTTACTCTAACGATAACTTAGAGTAACCGTTACTGAGGACAAAAAATGTCTTGACACGAATTAGTACGATGATAAAAAAGCATAAGAATCAGAGAGAGAGTATAGTCAAGGGAGAGATTTTTTCTAAATTGAGATATCATAGGGGTTTAATGATTAAAATGTATAGAGATTTATTTCATACTTCTTACAATTGCCGCTACAATGCGATTAATTATGAGAAATGTGAAAGGTATTTACTAGTTTGACATCGAAGTATTACTTTTTATATTGAAGATCTCAAGTAGTTAATCGAAACTTGAAGATATGATAAATAACGGCGTTTTGACTGCATAATTTTGTATTACCCAGACCTAATTGAACTTTTAAAGTTAACATTAGGCAGATCACAGACAAGTTCTTGTTATCCATATGTTGGTTTTAATCAAAAACTTGCGATCAACGTCCATAATTCTAAATTTCTTAAATGAAGCGATTTAATAATAAAATAAACACGTTCTAAAAATAGCTAATTTTAAATTCATACGAATTTAAAGACTTCTTTAATTTAAAGGAAATTTAATTTTAAAAATTCGTGGATATTTTATCATTCAAGAAGATCACACTGTAAGGTAATTGTTTAGAGATTTAACGAGACACATGTTATGATAAATTTTAACTTAAATACAATTATTTATGATTTTCACCCGCATTATATCTAAATTTAGTCGATAAAGAGACGTTTGTTTACTTGTTGTTTGTTTGCAACAATCACCTTAATTGAGCAACAACACAGACCAACAAAAACACTCGAAAGAAAAAAATAAAAGAAACGAATTCTATTATGAGACACTAAATAAAAATGAACACAAAATCATCATCAGTCCCTATCACAATGATAGATGATAATAGAGAGATTTAGTTGAAATTCAAACGCTAACGGGAACACTTTGAAGTCGGCATTAAGACGAGTGCCGAAAATATGGTGTGGTTAATTTTGAATTTAATTTTAATCTCCGCATTTAATTTAAGTACAGGAGAAAAAAGTAAGTGTGTCTGTCTTCTGGTATCAAAACATTAGTTTTTTTTACAATTGTACATTAATTGACATAATACTTATTTCTAGTACTATATGCAACGGATGACACTAGAGATGCTTTACTAAAAGATATTTTAAATAATTATCAGCCATCGGCTAGACCTGCTCATGCTAATGAAACTATTATGTTATTTGTAAATATTGATATACAACATTTTGATTATCGCGAAAAAGATGGAGCATTTCATTTAGTGGGATTGCTTCAGGTGGTAAGTTTGTAATTAGCAAATAAATAATAAAGAGAAACTATTTTGAATAAAATTTTAAAGTTTTAAATGAAGAAAGTAGTTGTATGAAGAACCCAAAAATTGATCTCTCCATTTACTTGCTCAAACACTTTTAGAAATGGCGTGATCCTAAATTGGTGTGGAATCCTCAAAGTTATGGCAATATGACTCATATATTAATAAGTCAAAGATACATATGGGTGCCCGATTTGGAATTCTACAACAATGCTCCCGATAAATTTATCCGAATGCATCGTAATGGTTTTGTTACGGTCAAAAATGACGGCGTGGTATTTTGGAGTGATTCTATAGATGTTAACGTGTTCTGTACTGCTGACATGAAAAATTGGCCACATGATAAACATGAATGCAACATAATTTTAGGTTCATGGACATTTGATGGTTTCGAAGTCGACATAATGCGTTTAGAACCGAATTCCAGTATGACGTTTAGTTCCATTGATATGAAAAATATGGAATATAAAATTACTTCATTTAATGGAAACCATACCAGTAAATATTACTCCTGTTGTCTACAACCATACGTAACAATGGACTATGATATAACTTTTCAACGACAGTCCTCATATGTGGTAATATTTCGTATGCCCGCGTTAATAATAATACTCTTCACATTGATTGGTGTAAGAATGGAGCCGAATAGAACAGAAAAACTATGGTTAAATGGCTTAAGTTTAATACTAATATCATGGCATTTGATATATTTTGCCAAAAATATTGCACACTTTCATGGAACGCCTTATATAGGTAAATGTGTGATTTATAGGTCATTAACATCTACCTATTTATATATTTCTCATTCCAGTGATCTTCTTTAGCACAAGCTTAGTTATGGTCACCTTAGCACAACTATTAGCTGTATTTTCTCTTTTTGCCAGCCATTCAAAATTTAAAGGTTACTTACCGGTTTTTATAGAAATATTTTTGAATTTCTCTTTCACCAGATATTTGGTACCGATTGAAACTAAAAATACAGATCATTCGGAAGTGAATGGTCAGTTTGAGGAGGTTAAATTGGACGATACTTCCAATTTAATTGATCGAAATTTATCTACCAATGATTGGTTAAGATTTGCCAAAATATTAAATATTTTAGCATTTTTATCGTTTAGTTTTATATTTTTAGTTTTATCATCAGTATGTTTTGTTTAAAAATAATTATAATAATATCACAAAACTAATTATAACAAATTAAATATTTACAAGATATGCGTGTAAAAATTGTTATGTAAATACTTTATTAAATATCAATTTAAAGTTTTTATTTCAAAATTTCGCACAAAATCTACAAAAGTTATAGGTTGTATTATAATATGGTTTTTGAATTCGAAGCGTGGACTGCACTTTAGAACCAAATATCAGTGTAATTTTAAAATAAATAATTTTTTATGAAAAAAAAAAAATTATATACATTTTTGACCAAAAATTATTTTTTGGTTAAATATAGATTTTGCTAAAAAAAAATAAATCATAGATAAAAATTTAATTTTTTGATAAAAAAATGTTTACTTTTTTGTTAAAAATTTATTTTTTGTAAAAATTAAAAATTAATTTTTGGTAATAAAAAATTCACTTTATTAAAAAAACTTAATTTTTAATATAAAAAGAATTTTTAATTAGAATGAAGAATTTTTTCATACAAATGTATTGAAATAAAATCAGAATTATACAACTGTGAACATTCATTTTGCTAAGTTTCATTGCCTCTTAGACAGACTTCATTATCAGCTGACGATAAAAATAGAAACATCTGTTCAAAGTTATTGAACAGATGAAAAATTACGGCAATTTCATTAAAATATAACATTTATAATCAGAAACGAAAAATAAAATGAATGTTGAGGCAGGAGCTGGAATCAATACGTTTAATCCCAAAAATCCTCATGGCAAAGGTAAGTACACAAAAATATATAAAGGAAAAAATGAATTTACAAATTTTCCTCTTAATTTCTCATTATAGGCGACCCAAATGATCTCTCCCTACGCAAAGTAGAGATAGAAGTTCTTATACCCAAAATTATGCGTGATAGAGCCAAGGAATCACACTGCAGTAAAGAGGTAAAGGCATTTGAAAGCTGCTGTAAGGACCAGGGCATATTGATGGTAGCGACATGTCGTAAACAAAATTCTGCTTTAAAAGAATGTCTTGCAAACTGGTATAGTAATGAGACATTTAAAGAGGAATGCAAACAAATCTATTTACAAGAACGTTCAGAATATAGACGCACTGGAATACCCAAGAAACATAGAGTGGAAAAGATCTAGTAGTAAATCATGTAACTAAATATATAAATTAAGCATTTGATTGAGAAAAATAAAAGATTATTTTATTGTATTTTGATTTTGAACATAAGAAGTGCAGTTAAATCTACGTATTATCATTTCGGATATTTGTACAGTAGATATCGATTCGAGGCTTATAAATTGGAAATCACTGGGTTTATGAACCTCCAGGATTAGAACATCTTTGTCGGAAGTTTCAGAAATGCGTTGCAAACCTTTAATGTTTTTGGAATTCAGGTGTTCTGTATCTGAGGGAGTGTTTATAACAACTACAAAACTTGCATGATAAAAACGTGGTCCTTTGCGATAAATTACTGAAAATAAATACATATTTTTTAGTTTTTAAATGAATATTAAGAAACTTTTACTTACAATAATTGCCGCCAAATTTTAAGCCACTTTTTACCACCCAACCTTTTGACTTTAAATATACATAAGAAGCAAATGATTCTACAAATAATTTATTTACTTCCAAGCTATGTTGAAGAAATCTTTGATATTCCATTTCTGTATTCTCGAAATCATATATTTTAAGTATTTTTAGATAATAACTTAAAAAGAAAGCCTCTTCTAAACTTAAACTCAAAGTCTCCTCCACTTCGCTATCATTTTTCAACGCTTCTACAGAATTTGTACTTTGCATTACAACTTTTGGAATACTTCGCGACTGACTTCCTTTACCGTAAAAGCCATTATCATAAATTCCTATTATGTCCTCTTTCGCATATACTTCTACCGATATCCCAGTAAATATGCCCTCATATTGTTTATTAGAAGCAGTGTTAGGAAATGGGTTTATTTGCCATTTGTTATTAGAACCTTTTTTACGTTTAAGATGTGGTGTAAAAAACATTATTGTTAAGTGCAAAAATTACTAGTGACCAGGGTTGGAAAATTTAGTAGTATCGTACTTATCAATAATAGAGCAGTATTTCATAAAAATACTTTTTCTAAATTGAAAAAAATTAGATTATACTATGTTAGAATATACAGGCAAATTTATACTGTTGGTATAAAGATTGATTTTAGATTTAACTGATCTCAGATTTTCGTTACTTTCCTATTTATGATGCTTATTAATATATGTAATTACAAATAATTTGTGTTTTTTATTTAAAAATCAAGTGTTAATGTGAGCAGTGATAACAGATTTCGTTATTTCTCAATTTGACAGAATAAACCCATATAGACCGAAATAATCTCTTCCTCTTGTCAACTATCTATGTATGTTTTTAAAACTACTTCACTTGAATTGCATTCACACATGCACCTGAATAAAATTGTTCCCAGTTAAAAAAAATTCACTTACCTTCCCAATGACATTTTGTCAGTGATTGTTAGTACACATTAGTTATGTTGTTCCATTGGAAATTTTTAAAAATTAGGATTTTTCAACCTTTTTCACTTCAATTTTTCTTTGCCACAAATTTTCACTTCGATTCTCTTGCAACTTAAATAATTGTTTTTTTTTGTAATATATTTTTATCTACAATGATCTAAACACTACATTTCTTTAAAATATTGTAATATGTGCACGTATTTCTTAAACAATTTAGAAAAATTTAACTCAACTTAAAATTCCTTGTTAAATTAAAAAATTACGGTAAATATTGCGCCAAATGCTTGTTTACAATTTGACATTTCTCTCTTTCAACAAAAATACATATACGGCGAATTCAAAGAAACAACAAGAGAGCAGCAATAATCATAAAAAATTATAAATTAACGATTTTATTGATTATTTAATACAAATTTTATTCTGTTCAACAATAAATAACGTTATATTTTTAGAAAACTTGTTTTATATTGTTTATTTTATTTATATTTTAACCTTTATAAATTTTTAAAATGTCACTTTTTAATTTTTCGTTTGTTATTGTTTCCGAACACCTCCTTCAGCAAATTTGTTGTAGCAACTCTGTTTAATTTTCTTATTACGGCGAAAAAGTCACAAGACCTGTCAGCTGAATTTTGGTTGGTCGTATTAGCAAAAGACGAAAAATTTTTCCTAGGCAATTTCTCGGCAATTTTGTGGTAAAAAATTAATAATTTTTCGGGAAAATCTCTATAGAAATTTTCAATTTTGCTTTTATTAACTAATTAACAGAAGTAAAAATGTCTGACGTCAAGGATTTAATGAATTTACCCGACGAAAGTGTAGGTAAGTTTTGTCTAAAACGCAGTAATTGAACTGAGAAAAATCGAAATGTCTACACATCAATTCTTGCAATTTGCAGTCAGTGGGTGGCTGATAAATGTTGCAAAGCTCCAAGTCATGGGATCAATAAATGCAAATAATAATGATATCATTTTCTTTAAGATATGATTGCAGCCACTTCGGTGTTGCAACAACAAGCTGCTGACATCCGTTCCAAAACCATCAACTGGGCTTCGTACATGCAATCTCAGATGATTTCCCAGGAGGACTATCATTGCATTACTGCTCTGGACAAATCAAAAGCTGCTTACTTGCAATCGAACCCCGCACAGGCTGTCAAAACTTTGTTGAATCTTTTGTCCCATGTCTCCAAAGACTCAACCATTCAGTATATCCTTGTCATGATTGATGATTTATTGCAAGAAGATCGTTCTCGTGTCGACTTCTTCCACGAATACTGCTCTAAACATAAGGAATGCGTTTGGGGTCCCTTCCTCAATTTGTTGAATCGTCAAGATGGTTTCATTGTCAACATGTCTTCACGCATCTTGGCTAAAATGGCCTGCTGGGGTCATGAAATGATGCCCAAGTCAGACTTGAACTTCTATTTGCAATTCTTGAAAGATCAATTGACCGTTCATGTAAGTTGAATGTTTTTTGTTTTAATAATTTCTTACTATAGGGTGTTTGGTTTCGGGGAATTGCTATAAGTTAAATTTTTATTATTTTCTCATCAACATAAATAAGTACTTATGAATGTAAAAAAAAATAATATATAATTAAATGGAAATTGAGTTTTTTTAGTCAGTTTTTTATATTACAATTTAAAAACTCAGTTCATTCACAGTATCTGATTAAAATGGTTTTTATTCCGAATTATTTACTTTTAGTGAGAATGATTTCGAAATCTATCAATGACCAAATTTTTGTCTGAAATTATTTTTGTTTTAAACTTGAATTTCGAATTATTTTAAAAGAACTTTTAACTATTAAATTTGTTTATGTTGATGAAAATAATGTACAATTTTATAATTATGATTATATTTTTAATGCATTTGCTTTTTATATTCATTTGTTTTTTTGCAAATCTTTTAACTGAAAATCATAAAAAACATTTCTTAATTTAAAAAAATAACACCTCATTGATAATTTTATAATTATAACATGATTTAAAATAAGGCGTAAATTCTTATGATTCCTTTTTAAAATATGAAGAATTTTAACATGTAAATAATTAAACTAATTCATATATTCAATTAAGCAAGAAATAACAACTCATTAATTGCTACGTTATTTTTTCATTTGGTATCATGTAGTTTTAAGTTGTTTTTATATAAGAACTTTATTTTTTAATTTTGCTTATTATTTGATTGATATTTGTTGAAATTTTAAGTTTTTATATTTTGGAGTGGAATATTTAAAATTTGTACATAGTTAGCATTGGTTTGCACATAAATACATACATATTTATGTAAATATGTAAATATTGATAATGAGAATTGGCTGTTAGTAGAAATTTTTTTATTTATTACATGGTCGCACAATATTTACACAAATGCACGAAAATCACACACATTTAGTATATTTTTTCATTCATGAAACCAAATAATGTTCTTAAAAACATAGAAGAATGAAAAATTTTACAAATTTTAATTTGGATAACAAAAATTGCATCCTCTTAGAACATTAATGGTTTCAATATTAATTTATTAGTTTCGCACTATATTTGGTGAAATAAAAGATACACAAACAACAAATAAAACCCACACTTTTAAACAACTAACCCTAAAGCTGCATTTGAAAAGAAATAAGGAGTCATTTATAAAATTATCGACATAAACTACGTTTGAAAGACGTTTTCATAATTTTAAGGCGGTTTCTTGTTAATAACATACCAAACAAAATCGCACCTGAATGGAATAATGTTTGTGTTCTGTTTTCTGGTTGCCATGAATCAAAATCAAAAACAAAAAACTAATTCGCTTAGATTAAAAACAAAAATTAAATAAAAATTATTTTTTTTCTTTTTCCTCTACCATCAAATGTCCACAAAAAAAAATTAAAATTACAAAATCAAAATATATACAACAACACCAACTCAACAATCAACAACAATAACAACACTATCTGTCCGCTATCGTATAATGTTAACAAAAAAACAATGCACAAACAACAATTTTAAATAAAATAAAATTGCATATTTTTTAAAACTTAATTTATATGTGAATTTATCACCCCAACAACAATTGAACGAACAAAAACACTTCAACAGTGCAAGGCCTACATTAATGACATGGCTAGTTTAGCTAAACGTGTCCAAACAATTGTGGTACACTCACACGCACATAGCAAAGATCATCATGGCAAAGAGCATCATGGTAATCAGTATAGTCCCTATGGAGCCCATCATGATCAGCCCCTCAATGAGTCGTATCGTGAGCTATCACCCGAACAACAAGCTGCTGTTGCTGAGGGCAAAACCATTATACCGGTAGTGTTTCCTAGAGTATAAAATAATTAACAATCGACAAAGAATCACAGCATAAACGGGAAGAATAGCCATCCATTGTTAATTTAGGAATAGAATTTTGTGTGATTTGAATGTTTTGTACCCAACAACACACATTTATGAAATGAACCGCACGCAATTTTTTGTTAGTTTTAAAGTTTTCAGAATGTTAGGGATAATTGCTTTACTTCAGTTCCTTCCTTTACTTTTTTACTAACGCTACTAACCGTCTTTCAAAGCTCAAAGAAAAACATACAAAGAATATAGCTTTTGATGTAGTGAAAAATTATTTTATTAATGTATTTAGTTTAAATATCTCATTTATGTCTGTTGCTAAAGTGGTGGTGAAATTAATATTGTTGTCTTCTTATTTTCGAATACAGGTTTATGAAATCAATTTTTTAAATACATAATATGTTTAAGAACAATTTTAAGTAGAAGTTTACAATTTCGAATTAAAACATTTTCAATTTCGTATTAATAGCGATTAAAAAATAGCATTCTCAAATATGATAGTTAATATCTAGGGAATATTCTGCGAGTCTTTTCGAAAAGAATAATGTTCGAATTTTTATAACATATTTCGAAAGCTTTTTGAATCGATAACAGGGTAACCCCTATATTAAAAATTTCTATTTCCAAGAGAAGATTTCACTTTCTTATAACATTTTTAAATAGAGATTTTAAATGAATGTTTTCAATTTTAAATCAATTTTTTTTTTTAATTTTCACTATATTCGTTTTTATTTATGTTTATATATAAATTTTATTTTACAAACGCGTCGCTTTTCCTTAATAGAAAACTTTGTAATTTTTGGTGTCGGTTTTCTGTTCTATTGCTTTTTTATGATTTTATTTGTAGTTTACACTTGGTGTTGCGTTTATAATTTTTTTATAAAAAAGAAAAATTTCCCAATTTTTTTAAATTAATTTTTACTAATACAAACCCCAAAAAAAGTTTTTATTAAATATCACAAAACAAGAATTAAACAAATAATTGTTTTTAAAATTTACCAATAAAAAAACATAAATAGGCCAATGAGTATATACAATCTGTGGCCCGTTGCTTGCAAATGATGTTGCGTATTGATGAATATCGTTTTGCTTTCGTCAGTGTCGACGGCATTAGCACTTTAATACGTATTTTGTCATCTCGTGTCAACTTCCAGGTAAGTTTTAACAAATTTTAAAAGAATAATAAAGAACAAATTAGACAATTTCTTAATATATATAGGTTCAATACCAATTAGTATTCTGTTTGTGGGTATTGACTTTCAATCCTTTGTTGGCCACCAAAATGAACAAATTCAGCGTTATTCCCATTTTGGCTGATATTCTTAATGATTGTGCTAAGGAAAAGGTAAAATATTTTCTTTTTACAGGATTTTTTAAATATGTTAAAGTTTATTTTTACTGCTTTAGGTAACTCGCATCATTTTGGCTGTCTTCCGCAATTTGATCGAAAAACCAACCGATACCCAAGTTGCCAAAGAACACTGCATTGCCATGGTCCAATGCAAGGTCTTGAAGCAATTGTCCATTTTGGAACAACGTCGCTTCGACGATGAAGACATCACCTCCGATGTCGAATATCTTACTGAGAAACTGCAAAACTCTGTACAAGATCTTAGTTCATTCGATGAATATGCCACTGAATTGCGTAGTGCTCGTTTGGAATGGTCTCCCGTACACAAATCTGCCAAATTCTGGCGTGAAAATGCTCAACGTTTGAATGAGAAGAACTACGAATTGTTGCGCATTTTGGTACATCTTTTGGAAACATCTAAGGATGCCATTATTTTGTCCGTCGCTTGCTTCGATATTGGAGAGTATGTTCGTCACTATCCCAGAGGAAAACAGTAAGTTTAAAATGTTAAAATTAATTAAAAAAATCAAAAAATTATTTCTTTCATTTTAGCGTTTTGGAACAATTAGGTGGTAAACAAATTGTTATGCAATTGTTGGGTCACGAAGATCCCAATGTACGTTATGAAGCTCTTTTGGCAGTACAAAAATTGATGGTGCACAACTGGTAAGACGCCTACGAAGATATCATATCAAATTTTAGTCAATATTTTTAATTTCTAATCAAAATTCAATATTTTATTTAATAATTTAGATAATAATTGAAGAATTCTCAAGATAACTCAAGCAATTTCTCCCTTTCTTTAAATTTTCTTTTCTCTAGGGAATATTTGGGCAAACAACTTGAAAAGGATAGCGAAACCCAAAAGCAGGGTTCAGCCCCTATTAGCGGCAAGGCTTAAACTATGTGCAACCTGCCTCAAACTTAATCATATAAATACTATTAAAATATACTAAAAACAGCAACAATAATTAAAATGAAATGTTATTTAAAATATAAGTTAAAAAAGCAACTCCCCATTAACAAATTACATATTTAAAATAAGTTCGTGTTGTTTTTTATCGTGCGAAATCATTATATTAACCACAACAACTATGGCTCTCCTGGAAAAGTAGCTTCTCCTTTATTGTTTTATCAAAATCATTCCAAAATTTGTTTTATTTTTTTTTTTAATAAGATTGTGTGCAAAAATTTTTAAAAATTTGTTGTGTTTGTAAATATTCTTAACTCCAAAAAAAAAAAATCTTTGTGACTTGTTAAGACATATTCTTGTCGTCCTTTATTGAAAATAAAAAAGTATTGTAAACTGTAGTTAAACAAATTAAATAAATATCTATATAATAAATGCATCTTATGTATTTTGAAAATATTGAACATTAACGCAAATGGTCACCTTAAATTAGTTTTTATGTTGGGCCTCGTTGGTCTTTTTCGTTCATTTTTTTGTGTTTTATTGTTTTTGTTTTGTTTGTTTAGTTTATCTACAAATAAATTATAATTTTTCAAATTAATATAAAATGTTATCTTCTTTCATACATATTTTATCTAGACATTTATCAATCAATGTAACTTTTACAGTTATCAATAGAAAAAAGAAATCAAATGCAATGTAAAATATAAAATTAAATTGAAAAAATATGAAATTGCAGTGGTTTTTCTTTGTTTGTTGAACGCTTATGTGATTACTGATCTAATTTTTCGAAATACTTACGTCAAGTGGGTTATTAGATTTGTAATGAATCGAAGTTCGTTTATACTTCATAACAGAAATGTTTGAAACAAAAATATATGACTCAATTTTGTACCACATATTTCAAAGCATTAGGGACATTCAAAACGTTCAATATATATTGATATATTTGGATCACGAGATATTTTAATGGATTGATGAATAGGGCGGGTATACTACACATTTGATATTTATCATTTCATTGTTATTTTGTGTTGTGCGAATGGGCGGATAATTAAAAAATACTGCGAGAAATAAAAAAAGAATGCATGTTTTGCTATTTTATTTACACTAATACTGTAAACCGAATCCTAGGTAATTTATCGTTAAAAAGCAATTAACATTTTTGACATTATCTAAATCAAATTCACCTAATTTTATTGTATCAAAATTATGCTAACAATTTACTAAATAGGATTAAAAAAATTTTAGAAAAAATATCTTATCCAGAGGCTAAAAAAAAGTATACTTTTATAAAGATTGGGTTTTTTAAGAATGTTTCAATTTTTAAATTAAGATACCTCGAAAATGGAAGAAGAGTTTAAATGTTTATAACAGATGTCAAAAACCATAACGTGATGGAGGAATCCAGATTCGGATTCCTTTTGGAAAATAGACTTTGGTTTCTGGATTTCGAATTCTTTTAAATATTTTTGGCCTGCATTACCAATGGTTTATAAATCAAATTTTTTATGAAAAATTGTTCTAAAAACCGTTGATAATAATATCCAAAGTATAATTCTCAAAGTTTTTGAATTTGTCTTCAAAACTGTGTTTTGGATATCTTTTTTAAATCAGATTTGTTTCAAGAGGAACATTCTTTCAAATTTATTGAATAAAAAATTATTTTGAGATGAAGGACTTTTTCCTTGTTAACAAAATAAAACTACATTATTTTAGATGTTTTTTTAGTTACTTTTTATGTTTTTTTTATTAAATTAAATTAACTTATAATTGTTTATTTGTATTTTTTCACATTTAATTTAAATAAAATTAAAATTGTCCTATTAAAGAAGGTTGGTTGGTTTAAGTTTACTGACATTGTTGTATCCTTCTTAAAAATATTATGAAATTTACAAAGAATCCGCCCGTAAAAAGTTTTCAAGTAAATATGTATAATTTTAGCACTCAAAAAACAAAAACTTCTTACAAACAAGATTCAAATGTCCAACAACGTTTTTAATACCAGTAACTAATTTTCTTGTTTTTTCTTGAACATCTCGAGAAGATACACAGAGGTCAGTTTAGTTTTGTTATTGTATTTGTTTTTATTTTCGAACTTAAACTTAAATAAGAGGATGATAGTGTTTGTTGTTGTTGTTGTTGTTTACATAATTGATTGGTGGTGGTTGGTAGTGTGTTGTTGTTGCTACTAAATTTAATTACTGTTTTGTTTGTTGTGGGAGTTTTGTTTATTTAGAATGATGAAATTTACTTGGTGGCAGATTTCAAGTAGGCGATGAGGTCTCCACGTTCATTGGGTTTCTTCAAACCGGCGAAGATCATTTTTGTGCCAGGGATGTATTTCTTGGGGTTTTCCAAGTATTCGAAGAGGGTATCCTCATTCCAGGTGATGCCCTTGGCTTTGTTGGCATCTGTGTAGGCGAAGCCGGGAGCTTGACCAGTCTTGCGACCGAACAAACCGTGCAAGTTGGGGCCAACCTTGTGTTTGCCGCCAGCTTCAACAGTGTGGCATTGAGCGCAACGTTGGACGAAGATTTTCTTGCCCTTTTCAACATCACCAGCTGGTACACCCATGTTTAGTTATTTGATTTATAAAGTGCGGACTCTAAAAATAGATAAATAAACAAAATTAATTAGACAAATCACATGTGATTGTGAAGAAAAGTGTTGTTATTGTTTGTTCGTTCGTTTGTTGATGTTAATAAACTTGTTTGCTTAATTGTTCTTGACAAACACGAGTTATACATGCGATAATTATTGCGTCATACTAAAGAGATAATAAAAATAATTGGCTCAAGGTTCTAAAGAAAGAAGATCCATTTTTATAGATTATTGTTGGCCAGATAAACAGGTGATCAGTCGTAGTAGTAGTATAGCAATCAAATGCCAATTTTTCACTTAGAAACTATTGAATTCTTTTAGAAATTAAAGCTAATTATTGAAAGTATTCCAGTATATGAAAAAGAAAGAATTTAGTGTTTTAATAGTGTTAATTGATAAATTAAATCTTAATACTTGAAATGTGTTATATTTTTTAGTGTTAAACATATTTTGAAACAACTTTTTTTGTTACATTTTAAAATTGTTTTAATTTTCAAAATAGTGTTTAGTTTTTATTGGAGTATTTGAGAGACATAGAGTATAAAATGTCCTGAATATCCCACTTTTAACTCCCTAATTTATTACTTTGAATCATGGGTACATCGATTCGAAAACATAATTTTTGAATTAATGTATTAAATACACGTATTGTTTTTGTTCGTATTGTTTTTTGTTTCTAATTTTCACAAAAATATTTGAAATTTGTATTGAAATACAAAAACAATTGTAAGAATTTGTAAAAACTTTTTGTTATTGAAAATTTTTTTAAATAAAATTCAGCTAAAGATGTTAGTTATGTTACAATTGAATAAAGAATAAAACTAAATTAAAAAAAAATCGCAAATATAATTTATATAAAAAATGTTAATTTAATTTTAATAAATAATGAGGAAATGAAAGTAGTGTAAGATATTTTAGTAAAAGTGTTAAACCTGTTTTGAAACAATTCTATGTAAATATCGTAAAATTGTTACAATTTTCAAAAACTTGTTTATTTTTTTATTGGAGTATTTGAGAGACACAAAGTATGAAAAAACCGAAATATCCCACTTTTAACTCCCTAATTTTTTAGCCAAGAAATTTTTGTTAGTTTTTTAATGTCAAAACAAATTTGTTTAGTTAGTTTTGTTTAATTTCTTTAAGAAATGGTTTTAAATTAATTTAAGACAAAACTTTCATACAAAGTTTGTCAGAAATTTTTTTATCTAGAGGACATGTAACGCAGTTGTTTAAAATACTAAAATTTGAAATACATTCTGATTTAAAGTGAAATTAAAATTTGTTTGAAATTATTGCTTTATTTAAAAATTAAACTTGATGTTTGTACCAATAATCAATTTTCTTTGGAATCTGTACAATCTAAAGCAAAATTATAATTACAGAAGTGTATGAGTTTCTAATTTAAAAGGGTTTTTGGAAAAAAATCTTGAGTACAAAAATTAGAAAATATATTTAGTAGTGACTTAATTGCCCTCAATCTGCGATATACCTATGATTAATAATAAATATTTAATTGTGATTAACTAGTACATTTAACTATTCTTATCATTTGATTAAAAATATTGCGGGCAACTATTGATATCAGCTGATATGTATTAGTATCTCTTAAATAAGAGTACAAAACACAATAAAATATTTATATAATCAACAAGAAAAATATATTTGGGAACCAATGGAAACAAACACGCGCAATGAAAAAAAAAAAAGAATAAAGAAAAAAGAGTAAAAACTATTAAAAACAAATACATACATACAAAAAAGCTAGAACACAAAAAAACTACAATAACCAAATAATTACGTAGTTTTTTTACTATAGAAGTAGAATTTTTTGTATTTTAACCTTGTTATTAAACTATGTATGAGTGTGTATATCTCCAATATTTGTTTTTGTAAAGGAGATTTAGAATTAAATACGTTTCAACAAACTCTTCCGTTTTATTACAAACACATGTAATAAAGTGTATTTGAAAAAATGCTAGATTATTGTGAAATATGTTTTTTTTTTTTTTTTTGTACAAAAACAAAGAGCATGCAATTATTTGAACTTGATTTTAAATGAATGTAAAATTTAATTTAAAATGTCAAGTTAAAGAACAGTTACAAAAATGTCACGTGAAAATAGTTTTTGCTGTTTGTTGTTATAATTTTAAACAAGTTTTGTTTATTTTTTGATTAAGTAATATTTAAGGGTAAAAAATGATAACAAACGGTAAATTGTTATGTATTGTAAATCGATTTTAAAGGTTTCTCTTTCGAAACCACCCTCGCTCTTGTTACAATAACAAAATTAAATAAAAAACACCCTGTACTAACTAACTAACCTCATTTTTTAAGATTTTGCTTAAAAAAAAGCAGAAAAATCAAATGAGCACAAAGTCACAACCCACAACAACCTTGTATTTTAATTGAAATAAAAAATACTTTCTTTCTATTTACACATTTTCTTACACAGAAAAAACTGAAAAACGATTTCAATTACCAAAACCTCGTTTTCAATTATTTTATTTTTTGAAGTTCAACCTATAACAAAAATTGTATATTCAATTACTACTTATAATTGATTTCGTACACAAAATTTTTATTTTTTTCTATTTTTGTTGTTGTTAAATACGTATTTGATTATACATTTTTATGAATCAAATACAAAATGAATTGAACCCTTTTAAAATTTTTGATTAATCGTTTAATTGAAAATTTTTTAAAATTAATTTTTTCTGTGTTACAAATAAACAATTAAATATTTTTGCTTTACAAAAATAACATTGAAAATTTGGATAAAAGCCAAAGAAAAAACAAATTAACTAAGCAAAAGAAAAGCAACAAACTAAAGAGAGGGAAAATTGTATGGATAAGGGGTAAAAAGAGAGGGAAACGTTAAAAAAAAGTAAAATACATAACAAAAAATCAACCACTAATTAATTATATAAGAATTTCTCTTTTAAATAATAAAAATATCTATAACAAAAAGAATACAATCAATTTTCACATTTTAAAATTTTTCAATAATTAATTTTGTACGAAAAAAATTGCCACATCCAAAGCTGTTTTGCAACCACGTGTTTAGACTTTGATCAAAAAAGAAGAAAAAAAAGCTGACAAAAAGCATTGTAAGAAAAAACCTTAGCAAAAAATCGAGAGAAAAAGCAGACTATACGTCATCATTTGATAAAAAAGTTACTCATAGTTACAGAGAGTAAAACAAAATTAAATGACATTTGCCATGAAAAATAATTTTACAATCATTACAGAATTAATGTGAAAAATAAACAAGATGACATTGATCTTTGTTTTGTAATCATTAAATCACATAATTTGCCTTTTTATCTAAAATACCTTTTCAATTTGGCTATTTTCTTTTACAAAAAGAAAAAAATCATTCATTGAACATCTTGAGCAACAAAAGTGAAAATTTAAAGAATTTCACCCAATTAAATTCCTTTTACTCTTATGTAACTCTTCTTGGTTAAAAAAAGTAGAAAAAAACTCAAAAATGTTTACAATTTCACTTATTTTGGCCCAAATCTCTTAAATCCTGTTTTAGTTATTTTCCATTCACAAAAAAAATTTTAACTAACACAGGACATTAACATTATGTAATACATTTTTTTTGGAACACAAAAACTACCTCAAATATTTAGCAAAAAAGTTTATCTCACTTTAGTTTATTAATTATACAACTCACACCTTTTTTAATTTATTAAACTATTTATTGTACTTCACACTTATTTGATTTTTTTTTTTATTCACTAATATTTTTAGGGGTAATTTTCCAATCAGAAATTTATTCTAGAATCTCTTCTCGTACAATTGTCATATAATAAGCAAACAAGTCAGAAAAAAAATACTTCACTTTCGTACTTACATTGAACACAAAAGATACAAAACGACTGTCGACGTTAAAAAGTTGTGCTAATGTTAAATCTACTAGGAAGTAGAAATTTTTTTTGATTATTCAAATTAAAATTCACGAGGAAGAGCATAAAAACAACGCGCGCATTTTACCTTTTTCTAAAGAGCGTTAGTTTTTAAGAGAATTATTTAAAGAGATTTGTAATTGGTCAGTTTTTTTTGTTGGTAACAGTGATGTCAATAAGATGCTTTTCGCTTAGCATTAGTAGAAATTTTGTAAAAAGTTTGTATCAGTATTAGAAAAAGAATGATTTAAGGAAATTTTATACAACGAATGGTTAAAATTTCGTATTTATAATTCTGATGTTATGTTTAACGTCGATTTCGATTGTCGTATTTGCTTTAAAAGTTATAGTAAGATTTTTCGTAGGACGGAGATCCGGTCAAAGCAAAAAGTCCATTAAGAAAAGAACTAATAAAGTATTGTATAAATGCGACCATATCTACTGCAATAGCCCTGACCTTTAAAATGGCTTTAGAGTTCGGATCATTATTTTAGGAGTTATTTTCGATTTTTTCCTTTTAGGAAGACTTCATAATTCTCTTTCCGATTTGTCTACGTAAATTTAGGTAAACATTTTATTATATTTTCCTAATAAGCAAAGTACGCAATTAATTTCATCCTTAGTTTGAAAAATTTTTCAAGAAATTTTAAAATATTTGCAGTAAATTTAAAATATCAAATAATTACATAAATAAAATTTAAAACATAAATTTTCGAACATTTAGCAGTTTAAAAACTAGCGATTTTTAGTGAAAAAATGTTGACCACACTTGTATTTCTAGTTAGAAGAGCACTAATTGTACATTATCAAGAGAGAGATACAACTTTTTTAGGGTTGTATTTTATATTAAAAGCTTTCCGATGCAGTGTTGTATTTAACTTATATAATAGGGTTTGCAGTTAAATTTATTTACGAATTCAAATATGAGGATTTGGAATTAAAGACTGCTACTTTAATTTATTCTACTACTTCCACATTTATTTGACGATACAAATTGTTGAAAAAATAAGTTTTAAGAATTCATTACAGGATTTTAAACAATTTTAAATTTAAGCAAGAAACGGGCATGCTTTACAGTATTTCTAATAAAATATTTATTATATTTACATTAATTTTAGATAATACTAGTATTTTTCTATAATAATAAACTCAAAATTAAGAAATTCAATATGTTTAAAAATTTCAAAGAAAACTTCTTAATTTTTACGTGTTAAAAATTCATTACATTGTTTTTATAATCCATAATTCAAACTATTTTGGATTTTTTAAGTACGCAATAACATCAGCCCGATCATCAGCTTTCTTCAGACCAGCAAATACCATTTTTGTACCAGGTATATATTTCTTAGGATTTTCTAAATACTCAAACATGGCATCATCGGTCCACATGACCCCCTTATTTTTATTGGCTTCCGAATACATATAACCGGGCGATTGACCACTTTTACGTCCCAAAACACCATGAAGATTTGGTCCTACCTTGTGTTTACCGCCAGACTCTGCCGTATGGCATTGGGCACATTTTTGCATAAAGATTTTTTTGCCATTTTCGGCGTTTCCAGCTGGTATGCCCATTTTTAAAACTACAATGAGAAGAACAATTACAATATTTTTAGAACATTTAAAAATAAAACATTCCTAGTTCTCCGAAAGACATAAATTGTTTTAATTTTTTTTGTATTGGAAAATTAATGCATTCAAAATTTATCGTATCGTTAAGCATCATTAGCATCAATAGACATAATTTAGTTTTGTGTGTTTCCATAAAATCTCCATACTTTAGTTTATCGTTGTCCTCTTGTTGTAATGCTGGAAATGATCCGTGTTATGGCGCTGTTTTGTAGGGCGTAATTCGTGTATTTTTGTGTCTTCCCTAAAAATAGCAACTAGACATCATTCTATACATTTGCCTCATTAGTTTACGAATTGATTTTCTTGTAATCGTATGGATTATTTAGTGATTTTGTTGGGCCGTTTTTATGTTGACACTGTCATCGTAAATCAATTAGTTTTGTTTGTATATTGAAATTTAAGAAGTTTATTTAAAACTCAATGTAGTGCAAAAAAGATTTTTTTCTGAATTGAGTATTTGTTTCCGAAGGATACGAAAAAATTACTTAGGGTGTGAAGAACATAAAATATATGTTTATAGTCAAAGTTTTTATCTCCTAATTCTCAGACTCAGATTCCGATGCATTTTTAAAATGTCAGATTTTCATCAGATTTATAAGTATGCTCTGAAGAACCGGATTAAATTTTTTTTTATAAATCAAGGTCCTGAAATAGCTATCTATGTATATTAAGAAAAATATCTAGTATCTAGGAATACTCTGGGGTTTTTATCGTCCAAAGTATATTTTTCAAAGTAAACTTAGAAAATCCTATATCTTAACCTGGCCTCAGAGTTTATCAGATATCGTGTCATGCAGTTTAAAAATACATCGTTTTTGGCCATATTTGAAAAGAGAAAATACCTTTAGTTATACAATTTTTTCAAACTTTATGAAACTCTGGAAACCTGATGTGATAGATACATTTTAAGATTTTGATTCAGCGCTGCTCAATCTTTTAGAAAAGCATAGTATAAGGTTAAAAAATTGTTATCATTATGTCAGTTATAAAGTGGCAACATGTCATCAATAATATTAACCCTTTCTTCTAAATTTACATGTTTCTCTATTAACTCTTAAACGAAGCAGACATTGACCACAAAGCTTTATCCTCTAAAGCTTTCAAAAGAGAATTTACAACAAACAGTGTATGCTAAAAATACAAATGTGTGTGAAATTGTTTCCACTAGCTTTGTGTATGCATGTATACAAACAATCAGCAAATGTCCTTTTGAAGCTCTCAAGGATGAATGTGTAGTAAAAATGTTATTGTTCTTTTTTTTTCTGATTTAACAACAAAAATAGTATAACACACAAACACGAATATGTGTTTATTTATTTACCTTCAAGTGACACAGTTTATGCCATTTAACTTCAAATCATTATGTATATTTTATATGCGTACATATAGTATAGCGTGTATAATATAATACAAATGACTAAGGTTAAGTAAATAGCTGTAGAATTCCAACGGAAAAGCCAAGCAGTCTGCCATTGTGCTAAACCATTTCTAAGTGGCAAATGTCACGCAAAATGATAAAGGAAATGATAACTGACTCTAATTGATGAAAATTCCTAAAGAAAACAAACGAAACGTAATAATTTACACAAATTTGCAATTTGCATGCAAACAATTTCTTCTTGACCAGTTGCAAATGGAATGAGGTAAAAAATGATTTGGTTTTTCAACTTCTCCTCATGTTTCTTTTTGCGATTATTTGATCTAATTCATGCAATAGCATCATTACACTATATATTTTTTCATGTTTGAATATAGAATCATTTAATTTATGTACATATTTTGTATTTATAATATTAAATTACCAAGTTGCAAGTTGTTGCCGCTGCTGCTATTTGCTACTGTGAAGTATTCGTATATTAAACTTCATCTAATTAATATGTGTGAATTGTCGTTATTGTTGTTGCCTCAGAAGAATGTGAAATATATTTTCGAATGTTTGCAATGATGTAAACTGGGTTTGTGGGTGAAATAATGAGTAAAAGACGTGTTGCACATTTAGATACATGTAATATGTACAACTTTAAAGCATGCTATCTAAAAATAATAATATTCGAAACCGTTTTGAAATTGTGTTGAAACGGGATTTAATTAAGAAAAAAACACACTTGGCGAAAAATTCAACGAATAATATTGTTATATAACTCTAATTTGTTCACCAACATTCTAACTTAAGCAGCAAAACCCTACTAGAAACTTGTAAATTTCTATGTGAATCTGAGTCAAACTTACTTTACATGATATATGTATAGTTATCGAACATAGCATTCGAAATATATTTAAAAATAATAGAAAAAATCGGAACTGTGCTTTCAATAGTAAATGTTTGAGAATGTCTGATAGAATTATTGAAGATTTCGAGCACGAAGATATCTGGCAGGGGTAATACGAAATATGTTTATAACAGACGGATATCGCTAAATCGACTTCACTATCTACAAAAATTCACAAGGATTTCTTTCTCACGAAAGGGAAGGGTAAAAAAACTACAAAAAGGAGAAGTTCTTTAGTTTTAAAACTAATGTTGAAATAAGCTATTTGAAAAAAAAATATTTATGGATAAATGATATTCAAAATATCTATTCTAATAAAATTAAATTCCAATATTCCCTTTCTATTATTCATGTTTTTATTTACAAACTTTTAATTTGTTGATGACCTTTGACATCTTAAATTATATTTTTCAATTTATTTATTTATGTATTATATCACTACTTGCATGTATATATTTCTACTCGTCATGACTGCAAAAGTAATTTGCTAGCTAAAGTAAGAAAATAAAATCCATTAGATTTTTATTACATCTTCGCAACGTGTGCATTTGGAGGGTGGAAACAACTTGCCCTTTTATTACGCATAAAAAAATATGTACTTCATTTTTCTTTAACAATATGAATGAAATTCGATGAGTGTTTCTATTTTTTATAGAACAAAATATGTATGTATATTGATTAAACCACTTGGAGCTGCATTTGGTTTTTATTAATTAAATGCTTAATTTTTAAATATTTCAAAATTTAGCTTTAAACGACATATTGTTAAATTTAATTTTGAAATATACATCCTAAAAATGAATTATATAAGTTTGAATTATGTTAAAGTTGTTTTCAGAGTCCTTGACTATGATACCAGTTTACTGAAGGTTATTTATACCTTCTTAAGCTTTAAAAGGGTTAACAAATCATTATTTAACGTTTGTAAAGCTCTTGTATTAAGTCCTTTTAACGTTGACTTTGTAAAGAACTTAAAATATAATGTTTTCTTTAGAAAGCTCGTAATTTATGTAGCTGTATATACACATTAGTTTATGAACGCTATATGAAACTAAAATTTTGCGTTTACTTTCAAGAATAATAAAAATTTTAATATTTCTTTATTTTGGTGCTATTATTAACAATACAAGAAAATTATATCAATAACACAGCGTTGAGACCAATGATTTTGTTTGAATTTGTAATCTTTGGAATGTTATAAAATTGACGTTTATTCTTTTGTAGGCACCTGAATCAGGGAACTGATTAATGATTGTTCGAAATAGCCTTCCTTGATATAGGAGAGCTTTAACTTTTATATCAAAAATTGATTTGTCATCAAAAATATATACATAAAATTTAAATCTACTCTACATAATACTAAATAAAGAACTTTAGCAGATGAGATCTCTTTAAGCTTTCTTTATATCACATATGTTGTACCTTTTATGTGTATGAATATTTAAAACACTTAAATAAACTTAATTTAACTTTAAAAATAGAATTTCATCAACTCAGAACGAAATCTTCTAATTTTAGGTTACAAACAAATAAAAGAACCTAACATATCGCCTTTTTTAGCTAAAGAGAATTCTATGAGAAAAAAAGCTTTCTAATAAAATGTATCACCAAATAAAAGCTGCAGTACACAAAAACACACAGATACTTTTTCGTTCGCATACACACAAACACTTATTACCTGCAATCTAACTACAACAAACCAGCTGCGAAGTCGGCGCTAAAGTTCTTAACACATAAAGTTACAATTTAAAGCCCTCCTGGCCCGTTATCATAGAAAACCTCTTGTGGGAAATAACATGCACCAAGTATGAAGGCATTTATGAAGAAACGCTGCTGCTGCTGCGAAAAAAAACTACTTGGGCAGACTGTCAGCGTCATTGTGTACATTGTAGTCGTGATGTTGTTTTTTGTATCGTTGTTCAACCAACAAAATAAAACTTTTATTTCATTCAATCAGCTGACGCGTTCTTGAGCGGTTGGTTTAAAAGTTTTCTCGGTTCTCTAAAACACTATATATAAATTTATATATTGTACGTGTAAATATAAACTTACGTTGCACAAATTAATTGTATTTCTAGTGGAGAACAACAACAGCTAAGTTTTTTTTTTAAAACTTAATTTTATTCTGCTTTTCCGAAAACGTAACAAAATTTTGATTTTGTAAAAAGAAGAACGTCAAGAAAATTGTCAATCAAATTCAATAATAAAATTGACAAAATTCATTTGACATTTTTGATAAAATAAAGAAATAAATTTCAAAAAATAACAAGTGTTTGAAAGTGAATATTGTGCATCCTATAAAAATATAAAACAACAAATAACTGCCTGTAAACCTAACAAAAACAGCAACTTTAAGGTAATAACGCTAATCATTTTATTAAAATTTGTATAGTTTTATAATTAGCTATTAAGTTTTTCTAGTTGGCTAACGTGTGTCCTTGAAAATATCTGATTTTTATTGTTGTTTGTGTAACATTTTCATTTGTGTATTGTGTTAGAAAGGAAACGGATAGAGGAGGATACGAGACGCATTTTCCTCTTGCCTTATATGTATGTATTTCTTTACACACTCAAGAGAGTTTGAGTATGCGTGTGTACTTGATTCTTACACAAACAACAGTTTTTACGTAATCATTACAAAAATCCTGCAAGAATAAGAAATTCACGTAAAAAGTTTTGATATTAAATTCCTAGCCTTAATGGATTTTTGGGACAATTATTGTTTATTTAAAAATCTGTTTTGTTGTGGCTTTTTAATATCCTGTTTATCAAAATTTTATTACTTTTTATTCATTTCCTTTCTACAGTGGTTATTTATTTTTATATTCTTAAATAAATTCTGTAGCTGTTATACCATTACCACTTCTGTTGTGTCCTAATCGAATAGACATTAATTTAACGCGAAGGAGTGAGTTGTAAAAATCAAATGAAAAAAATGTTTAGTTTCCTCAGACGAACAGGAAACGATTTTTGGGTACTCTACAACTGAAAATAGAAGATTACTACGTAATTAAATTAGAATTACGAAGGAATCCGCCTATCTATAACACGTCACACAATTTAACCTTAATCTATTTCATTAAATATATTGTTTATATCCAAATCTTTTGATTCGAAAAAGATAAATTGATCCTTGTCTGCACTTAGTATTCAAATGTTGAAATCATTTGCTTCGGAAACGACTTATGTCTATAATTATATAAATAAGCCTTCACAGAATTCCATTCCGATCTTTTGTTTCTTCAGAAAAAGCAAAAGGACAACTTTTCAGAATGAAATAATTCCTAATTCGATCGGAATGGATCTTAGAATCTTTCCTTAAAAATGTGTAAAAAAACCTGGGAGGGTTTCGGTAATATGCATATGGTTAAAGTTGTTAACAATTTGTAGAGTAACTTTTCAATTCGCCCATTACCCACTTCTTGTTGTTATTTAATGTTTATTTATTTCATTTTATTATTGTTCTTTTTTGTTGCTACTGTTTTCCACATTTGATATATCAAAGTGTCCTGTCCATCCTTTATAATAAATATATTTTCTTTTGTAGCCAATAATTATTATGGGGACCCTTTTGTTTTGGTTTCGTTCGTTCGTTCATCATCATCATCGTCATCTTAAACCTTTAAGAGCTTTAATTTATTCAAGTGGGTTTATGGGTCAGTCTTATAAGCTCATATGTATATAGAATCAAACAAATATAAAAATTTGTGGGAATATCTATGTGTGTATAGAATTTTCTCAATTGTTATACCCGGCAGTTTTAAAAAGGGTTATCATACAAATTTTCCTAGCTGTATATAATTAGCTTAAAAGGAAGATATGTGATACATCAGATATAAAGAAATATATCTAAGTCAGTCACTATCGTATCTTTCTCATTACTTTTTCTCAACAAAATCCCTATTTGAATCCTAACAGTATAACCGCTTTTTCTAGTAAATGGTCAGTTCCAAATGCTACCGGATATTATTATATATTTATTTTCCGTTTCAATTCATTGTTAGTTTTTCTCTTGATTTTTCTTTCTTTTTGTTTATCCTCTTTTATGTTGCTGCCAAATGTTTGAAAAAAAAAAAATAATAATAATGAAATCCAATAAAGTGAAGATTATTATATTCCTGGATTTTTGGTTGGTTTGTGTGTGTGCGTGCTATACAAACATTATTCTACATTTTCATTGTGTGGTCCAAATCTATTGTTTTTAAGAGTTTTCCTGCTCTTTTGTGGTTGATGATGCACCACAAATCATTATGAATAAATGTTGTTAGAGTGAAAAGTGGACATTAATGACCAGCTTTATGCAAATTTTGTATAATTATACCATTTATGAAATTAATTTATCTTAATGAGGGGGACGTGTTGAGTAGCAGATATCTGAAGAGTTAAAATTTTTGTTGATTTCTTTGTGGGGGAATAATTTAATATGTAAATTAATTTTTTGGTAGGTGCATAAATACAAAACAAATAAATGTATTAAATTATGTGCTCAGAGATTTTGGAGTTTGAGTAAAACTATATTAAATATTGCAGCAAAAAAAATCTTTCGAACTTAACTAAAGTCATTTAAAAGCAACTTAAAAAGTTAAAAACTGGGGCCAAATTCTGACATTTGAAAGCGAACTATTGAAAAAAACTTTGGGATTAATAATAATTAATTATTAAAACTCTAATCTACTGCAGACAGTTGATACAATTTCAAACAAAACTATTTTCAAATAATAATATTATTATAAACGTTATCAAAAAATCCAAAATGTTTAGTATAAAAATATAAATTTCTTATCATAAAACTGCACTTGTGATTTTATCAATATTCCACAGAAATTTTAAAAGTTCCAAGCAAATATCACTGGCTCCCAACAAACTAGAAATCAATAGTATCAATAATAAAAACTAAAATATTAAATAAATAATTAAAGATAAGTTGCATTTAACCTAAATTTGATAAACATATGTTTGTTCGAAATTACAAACACACACGGCTATTGGATTTTGGGGGTCTTTTTATGGTAATGAAACCCTAAAGTTTTTTTTTAGATTTTAAATAGTAGGGTGGCAATTTACAACTGATTAACATATAATAGATGAACTGATAGACACAACAGGTTTAAGGAAATTATTTAAATTAAGAAAATAATTAGCATAATTTAAAATTAAAAGAATACACTTGTAATAAAATGTAAATTGGAAAAAAGGTTGCATTACAACAAATTGTATAGTAAATTGATTACATTAGTTTCTAACTGTTTTCATAGAATTCCCAAAAATACAGTATTTTTGTGTGTTTCAATTTCTTTCAGTGTATGTATCTAAATATCTCTGTAACACACGTACAATTTACGAAACATAAACGCATTTGTTACCACATTGTAACTTTTGATTAACGTTGTTGTCATTTCTGGTTTTTTGGTATTGAAAAAGAAAAACTAAAAACTTTCTTGTTGCTGCTTTTCTCTTTAAGAGGTGCCTTATTAGAACCCACTCTTTTGCCGCCATGTGTTGTCAAAAAATAATGACGAACTATAAGAAGAAAACACTAATTAACTTGTCAAACAAACGTGCGGTTCGTTCGTAATTGTAAGATATTTATAAAAACCCCATAAAACAGCAAGACAGAGACCGAGAAAAGTTGTGTTTTGTTTTGAGAAGGAGGGGGCGCCCTAATTGAAATGCGTTGTACTCATTTCAGTTTGTGTATGCAAGTGTGAACCACATAGTGTAACCCATAAAAACTAATAAAATTGTTGAATTTCAATTTCATGTCTGGCATAATTAATTACGTATCTGGCCAATAAACATAAATTCTTTTCTTGCTTTAAATCATGAATTTAAGTTTGTGATATTAAAACTCTTTAAAAATAATTTAAAATGTGTTTTCAATTTGTCATGCTAAGGAATGTTTATTAGTCTAAGAGTATTTTAATACAAATTTTATGTCTTAATTTTTTAAGAAATTTCTTAATTATTTTCCTATAGGAGTGTACATATGTATGTATATATTTCCTATAGAGTATACTCTCCTAACGTGTTTACAACTTTTTGTCACCTGTTCGCCATAATTATCAAAATATTATTTATATTCATTTTATTCTTATTCACATGTTCTTATTCACAGTTATTTTTAAGGCCTCTTTTTGTTGTTTTTTAAAACAATTTATTACTATTACATCTTTAGATTAAAAAGTCAACAATGTAACATCAGCATCCATTACATGTTGTTTTCTATTTGGTCTAATAAATCTTGCCAAACTTTGTTTTCCCAACTTAAAAATGCTATGGAACTGTCTTCTCTATTATGCACAATACACCACCTCTTTCAATTTTGGGTTTCGTTTTACATTTTCGAGGTTCACTGCCAATCTGGGTTAATAAACCAGTTAGTTGTATTTCAAACTCTTACAGAAGTTCTTTGTAAGTTTGGAGTACTATTTTAGGTACTTTTTTTTTTCTAAAATTATAAAAAAGTACTTTGTTTTTCATTTAAGATTTTAGTTATTTTTTATGTAGTTATACTTTATACGTTAATTTTAAAAGTACTGGAAACAGTACGATTCATTTACTTAAAGTTATCATCTCTGATTATGTTTTATCATTATTATTATCGTTATAACGTCATCATTTTCAACATATGTATGTATGTTTGAATATTCAAACATATCTTGTTTGCCTAAAACGTTTCCCAGTTGACCAAATCGTCTGAGTATAACATATAACAAAAAATCTATACTATATTCTACGGTATAGGCCATAGAGTAATCTAGTCTGAACTGTAGAGTAGTTTATGGCCTGGACCGTAGAGTAATCTATAGTCTGCACAATAAAGTTGTCTATAGTCTAGATTTTAGAGTGGTATACAGTCTGAACTATAAAGTAGAGTATAGTCTGGACTACAGACTAGTCTATAATCTGTTCTATAGAGTAGTCTATAGTCTGGGCTATAGAACAGTCTATAGTCTGGACTATAGAGCAGTCTATAGTCTGGACTATAGAGCAGTCTATAGTCTGGACTATAGAGCAGTCTATAGTCTGGACTATAGAGCAGTCTATAGTCTGGACTATAGAGCAGTCTATAGTCTGGACTATAGAGCAGTCTATAGTCTGGACTATAGAGTAGTATCTAATCTGGATTATAGAATAGTCTATAGTCTGGATTATGGAGTAGACTATAGTTGCAAAAGATATTTATTCAATTTAATTTGTAATTCTTTCTGTTGTATATTCTTAGTAAAATCTCAAAAAAGTACTTTGAATATGTTGAAAAAAAAATGATCACCTGGGTTATTCTTGGCATGACTGAATGTGTTCATTTGCCTGCATTCGAAAACAAATGTAGAAAAATGTCTCCCAATTCGAAAG